CACAGAACCGGATAGTGCTTACTGGGCTACCCCTGAAGTGGTAAATGACGATTCCTGGTACTTAGATAGTGGGGCCACCAGTCACGTGACAAATGATCTCAATAAGATTGAGAATGCCTCTGATCCTCATGGTAAGATGAATATCATTGTTGGTGATGGTTTTAAATTAGCCGTACAGAAAATTGGTTCATCTACTATTCAGAATGTTGCTAGTCAGAAAGTTAAGCTGAATAGGGTTCTCTATACTCCTTATATTAAAAAAAACTTGCTCAGTGTGTATCAAGTAGCTCATGACAATAAAGCAGATGTGATTTTTAACACTAATGGTGTATCTGTGAAGGATCAAACAACAGGGGAAACAATGCTGCAGGGTCAACCAAGTAGAGAGGGCATGTTTCGTGTTTTGGATCAGAGGAAGAATGGAAGTGAAGAAGACTTGGTGTTAGTAGCTGAAGAAGATGTTGACTCTGTATCTAGTTCTAGTTCTAAAGTTTTCAGTAGGACTTTTTGGCATTGTAGACTTGGTCACCCTAGTGACAAAATTTTAAACAAAATCATCAGTGAATGTAATCTGAAAGTTTCTCTTGCCAATGAAAATGAGCTTAGTTTCTGTGAATCATGCAAATATGGCAAAATGCACTCTCTACCTTTCAAAGTTTCCACTTCACATGCCTCTAAGCCACTTGAAATGATACACACTGATCTTTGGGGACCCTCACCACTTGTTTCCATGAATGGTTTTCGGTATTATATATTATTTGTTGATGATTATAGCAGATACTCCTGGATTTTCCCTTTGAAGACTAAAGATGAAGCTTTGCCTATGTTTATTCAGTTTAAGAACTTTGCTGAAAAACAGTTTGATGGCAAAATAAAAATTATTCAAAGTGATTGGGGAGGTGAATATAGGAAGTTTTCCAAGGTCTTACAAGATTCTGGTATCCATTTTAGACATTCTTGTCCACATACATCTCCACAGAATGGGAGAGCTGAAAGGAAACATAGACATATTGTAGAGACTGGTCTAACTCTCTTAGCTCAAGCCAAGATGCCACTATTCTACTGGTGGGAATCCTTTCACACAGCAACAGAATTGATAAACCGTTTGCCTACTCCAGTATTAGGAGGAATTTCTCCTCTATTCAGGCTAACTGGAAGAATTCCTGATTATGAACATCTAAAGATTTTTGGCACAGCATGCTACCCTTGCTTAAGACCGTATAATGATCACAAATTACAATTCAGAACTGTCAAATGCGTATTTGTTGGTTACAGCAATAATCACAAGGGCTATAAATGTCTAAGTCCCACTGGTAGAGTCTATATCTCTCGGCATGTTGTATTTAATGAGCTAGATTTTCCTTTCTCTACAGGGTTCTTGAACAAAAGAAAGGTACCTATGGAAGAAGTGCATCCTAAGGCCTTTTTCCAACCAGCTCTATCATCGCTGCCCAATACTTGTCCAACAACTGATTCTGAGCAGGTTGATCCAGTTAGCTCATCTGATTCCTCTCAAGGAACTCCAGTCCTGATTCCTTTGCCCATGGTTGAGGAAGGTACTACACAAGAAGAGCAACAAGATGGAGACAATTTTTCCATTAACTTTCCTGAGGCAGAAAGCAGAGAAAATCAACTTCATGAATCTACAATTCCTAATACTGAAGAAAGAAGTATTCAAAGCTCATCCTCACAGACTGACAGTATCTCCCCGGTCAGACATCAAATGATAACTAGAAGCAAGGCAGGGGTTTTTAAACCCAAACAACCCTATATTAGAGCCATGACAACTGAAGTAACCACTATCAGAGAACCCACTACTGTTCAAGAGGCGATGAATTCTGCTGATTGGAAGCAAGCTATGTCAGAAGAATATAATGCACTTATGTTAAATCGCACTTGGGAATTAGTCCCTTATAATGGGCAAAGGAAACTGGTTGACTGTAAATGGGTGTTCAAGGCCAAACCTTTGGTAAATGGATCTGGTTTTAAACCTAAAGCTAGATTAGTTGCTAAAGGTTTTCAACAAAGACCTGGAGAAGATTTCGATGAGACTTTTAGTCCAGTCCTGAAAACCTCCACCCTAAGGTTCGTTCTATCTCTTGCTATAACCTGTGGCTGGAAAATAAGACAACTAGACATTAATAATGCTTTTCTGAATGGTGACCTACAAGAACAAGTATTAATGAAACAACCTGAAGGTTTTATATCTTCAGAATTTCCAAAGCATGTCTGCCTCTTGAAGAAAGCACTTTATGGTTTGAAACAAGCTCCCCGGGCTTGGTTTGAAAAGCTAAGGTCAACCTTGTTAGATTGGGGTTTTGTTCACTCCAAATGTGATACTTCCTTGTTCTTCATAAAAGGGAAAGATTTTGTTATGTTTGTTCTCATCTACGTGGATGATATAGTGGTTACTGGAAACTCCCCTAGAGTACTGGAACTGTTTATCAAGCATTTAAACTCACATTTTGCTCTAAAGGATCTGGGTTTGCTTCATTACTTTCTGGGTATTGAGGCCTACAGAGACAACACTGGACTATATTTGAAGCAGAGCAAATACATTCTATCGATTCTTGACAGATTTGGCATGACAAATTGTTCATCAGTTCCTACTCCTATGATTGTCAACCGACAATACTCTAAAGCAGATGGCGTTCCACTCAACAATCCTACTTCTTACAGGCAAGCTATTGGGGCGTTACAGTATCTAATCAACACAAGACCGGATATCACCTTTGCTGTCAACAAATTGAGTCAATTTCTCTCCTCACCGACAGATGTTCATTGGCAAGCACTCAAACGAATACTGAGATATTTGAAAGGGACTATTCACCTTGCTCTACATATCAAATCGAGTACTCACCTGATGCTGCAAGGATTTTCTGATGCAGACTGGGCCGTATGTCCAGACGATCGGCGGTCAATAGGAGGGTTCTGTGTCTTCCTTGGTGACTCGTTAATTTCATGGTCCGCCAAAAAGCAGCCTGTTGTTTCTCGATCCTCTGCTGAATCCGAGTACCGAGCTCTAGCGAATCTCTCAACGGAACTTGCGTGGTTTCAATCCCTCTTTGGAGAATTGGGGATCCATCTGAAACAACCCCCGATTGCGTGGTGCGATAATCTAAGTGCTGCTGCGCTAGCTTCCAATCCGGTATTTCACGCTCGATCAAAACATATCGAACTTGATGTTCATTACATCAGAGACAGAGTTATCGGACAGCAACTCTCAGTTCGGTATGTTCCCTCGTCCGATCAGATTGCTGACTTCTTCACAAAAGCCTTGTCTCATTCTCGGTTTTGGGCTTTTAGAGACAAACTCGGCCTTGTTCCTTCACCCAGGCCTAGTTTGACGGGGGATGTTAAGAATATAACAGGAAGTCCAATAAGAAAGCCCATTACGCAGGCCCATTACATTCAAGCATGTTCCTGATCTGTAAATGTGAACCTTGTATCATTCTTCTAGTATATTCCTTTGTATACGTGTCACACTACAATGTAATCTAGGGTTTTTACCCTGTCTATATATAGAACAGAATAGGGCCTTGAACAGTGCGCCCAATAAAATATTTTCTATTCCTACCACAATCTTATCTGAGAGGGTTTAGGACCTTGGTGAAAGAGATATTATTCTTTGCACCGATTCTTCCGATGCCGTCCAACTGATCAGGCATGGGGACCCTAACCTCCATGATGAATGGAAGATCATTCAAGAAATCAGGAGGATGCACGGATGGGATTGGAAAGTTGAGATGCACGTTATCAGCCGTGAGAGCAATGCCATGGCAGATGGTCCACACTCTAGCGAAATCAGCACCGAACGGTGCTATGGGATTGCAAATTCTGAGCTTCGAAGCGGTCCCATTGTGCGTGACGCCTACTGTTGTTTCTTAGTTTTTTACTGGTTTTTCGTGTTTTTTTAATTATAGTTTATCAAAAAAAAAAAGTCAGCTAATGCAAGAGTTGGTGCCTTGCAAATTAAAACATCATCTAAGTGATTCTTTAGCTATTGTAAACATGTTAAATAGGATGAAAGATGAGTATTATGTCGATTCTGCTTTGTTAAAAATTGTAAAGAAAGAATTGAGTTTTTTTAATTAGGTTAGGATACAACATGTGTACATAGAAGGCAATTGTTGTGCTGATTGTCTTGTCAATATGAGCTTTCAGCAGAGGGATGCGGTGACATTTTATGAGAAACCGTCCCAGAAGCTATCCTTATATTTGTACAGGGATATTGTGGGGATTATTTACCCACGTAAGGTTCTGAAATAATAAGATGGGCTTTAGCCCCGTAGTTTCACCAAAAACAAAATCATCTATACATATATATATATATATATATATATATAATATTTTTATTCATTATTCCCGAACCCGGCAATTATGTTTGACTGCTTGTACGCAGGCCCAGCACAATTGCTCATTTAAGAAGAACAACTAAATATATCCTCGTGTAATCAGAGGGAATTATCAATAATTAGATTGAAGCAAATTATTGGAATTAATGTTTGCTTTAAAGAAGGCTATTTTGAAAATGAACCAAGTCAGAAGCCATATATGAAGTTAAAAAAGTGTTTGGCAACTATAAAAAATACTTTTTAAAAACACATCTATCATAAGAGTATTTTTAAAATTATAATTTTGTTATATCCAAACACTCCGTGATCAGATCTCCAATTTTCGCAGTCAGCTACTGTGTAAAGTTAATCGGTTATTCTACGGACTCTGGTTCTGTCTTCTAATATCGTGAGTGTGCGTGTTTCCCCTTGTTTTTTTTTTTTTAATGTTTGGTTTGCCTTTGGTCCTAAGATGACTGACTCTGTTCTTAGTTGTTATGACCAAATTGAGGGCATTTGATTTCAGGATGAAGGTTGTGTTGAAAGCTCTAAAAGCTCCATGCTTTTGGAGGATCTCTCTGGCCCTTCTCTTCACAGGTGCCACTTCTTCTTCTCTTCCTTTTTTAAGTTTTTCTTGTTTCAAACTCGCTTCCAAGCTCCAAACACTTGAAATAAATTATGGATTTTTTTTTGGGGGGAAATACACGTTACATTAATAATAACAAACCAGTGGCCAAAGATCACAGTGAACAAACCAGAACGAAAAGAAAAATCAAAGAGCAAAGTGCAGAAATTGATGAAAAATCTCAGTCAGCAGGGGCCGTAAGCTTCGAGAGCCTCACCAGTTAACCTGCAAATCCGCCATTCCTGCAAGATCTTGGCCCCCATCTCCTCGTAAAACTTAATCGCGTTCACGTTCCAATCAAGCACTGACCACTCCACTCTCCCGTACCCCATCTCCACCGCTTGCTTCGCCACCGCCGAAAGCAGCATTTTTCCGAACCCTTTCCTTCTGTAACACTCTCTCACAAACAAATCCTCCACATAGAACCCTGGCTTAGCCAGAAACGTGGAGTAATTAGGAAAGAAGAGCACAAATCCAGCAACCACAACATCATCCCCCTCCGCTTTGAACCTCTCTCTCTCTGGATCCTCAATCGGGAGCTCCAGATTCAAGACCTGAACCTTCGGTTTGTACAAGGGATTGACGGTCGATTCCGGAAAGGGGTTGGGGGAAACTTCGAGGATGAAGATGGTGAAGGAGTGGAAGGCCTGAGAATTGAAGAGAGTGGAGGAGAGAGCGGACTCGGTGGCGGCGAATTGATGGGTTAGGTGCTCGAACACGGCCATCTGATGGACGAGCTTGTGGATGTGAGGAACGTCTGAAGGGGTGGCCAGACGTATGCGGGAGAACAGAGTGTGGCCTGCTGGCGTCGACTTCGGCAATGCCTCCACCGGCGCTGGAGTCGGCGGAGGCGGTGGTGCGGCGGCAGCCATCGGTAAAAAGATGAGTTGTTAATGTTTGTGCGTAAAGGAAGTAGCCTACCGCTTCAAGCGCGAGCACGATACTCACTGGAAAGAGATAGAAAACGGGTTGCTTACTCGCGTAGGGCATTTTATTACTGTATATTTTTTTTTTGGCCAACAAGAGCAGGCCTAATAACATATTTTTATGTTTAGTAAACTATTATAGTTAGGATGAGAAGAAGTATTATTTATAAAAAAAAAATTAGAACAACCCATTTTTCATGAATTAAGGATTAAAAACTGCACCCTCTCACAAACAACAAAAAGAGCATGGTTCTTGTCTTTACACTTGAAGAGGCATTTTAGATCTGAATTATAGACTCGTCTCGATTTAAAAAAAATTATAAATTTGTGAAATAAAATTAATTAAAATTTTATATTTAAGATTAAATTTTATCCTTAACTAGCTATTATATTTAAGAGAGGAGGTAGTAATTTTCAAACCTAGTTTTGAGAATTATATCAAACAGCAATTGATTTTGTTGCTGTTCGAAAAGTTCAACATTTGGATCCTCCAAAAAGCCAACATTAGCTCTTTAGTAGTCATTGATGCCCATAAAAAGGTATTCAATTGGAATATGTATTCTAAAATTTCCTTTCACTTTTTCATTAGTCCGCCGCCCTATTTATAGAGTTACTATTCATATTTAGAACTATGTATTTTAATTTGTGAATATTATAAAATAATCTTCTGATCTTTAATATATGAATTAATTTGAAAGCTAATATTAGTTTTATATGTAAAACTTATTTTACATGTTTATCAATTTTTTTTCAAGTTAACCTTATTAATATCCTTTCAACAATAATCAAGTAGAAGAGTAAGGAAGGAAATTAAAGAAAATGATTAAGGTGTTTTAGAAAAAACATATCATATTAACTAATTTAATTAATATTCTTAATATATTTAAATTAATTAAATAGGTCTTATATCAAGAGAAATAAAAATAAATTAAAAATTATCAATGACTAGCATTAGTAAAAGAAATGAGAATTCTCCATGTTGGATTTCAGTCCGAATTCATTCTTGACATTTTAAGTTGGATCTCCCTGTAATAAAAAAGAATTACAATCAGGTCCTAAAAGGGGGATTTAATTTTTTTTAAAGTTTATTGATGAGTGAAGAATAAGCAATGATAATAGTAAATGACAACTTTGAACTAGTCACTTGTTATAAGATTTTTTCAGTAATTAAATTTTTTTCTTAGAACCTCTTGATAATTCTCCTTATAATAAAATATATATTGTTGGATATGGTATCTATTGCAATATTATCAATTTTTAAAAAAAAGGAATATGCTGTTTGCATGAAAAAATTTTCTAAAATATGGAAGGGTAGACTTTTCTAATATATCATCACTCTAATGCTATAAACAAGGAATGCCTTCTTCAATTTTTTAGGCATATATATTTTTTTATTAAAGGCAATTTTATTTGAACAACTGTTGGGGTTAAATAAATATGAATACTTTCGTTTCAACTTTGAAACTTAGTTCATATTATTATGAATTATTAGCTCTTTTTACTAGATAAAAAAATGCCTTCCTCAATTTTTTTTATTGCCCAGAGCATCATCTCACCCAAATAGTAAGAAACCAATCTCTCATAGTACTATCAGGCGTCATAGCGGGATCGTTCCCAACAACATTTTTTCCATACACATCTTTCCAAGAGCAGCAATAGCCCAGACCGAGGTAAGTTCCCCGCCCGCTCGCTACTTTCCGACACTCCAGACACTCTCCCACCCATAGTTTCTTTTCATTTCATTTCATTTCTTGTTTTTTTTTTTTTTTGATGGAATAGTCTTCATTTCTCTACCCTGTAATTGTGTTCTTGAATTATTTTTATTGTAAGAAAATTGGACATAGGTCATAATTATAGTTGAGTCGGGATAGATCGTGATATTCATCTTTGCCTTATGCTCGTTCTTACATTAATCATGATGATAAATCGTCATATTCTGAGCAAATACTTCAATTACGGAGAGATATCATATCGTTGAAGTACAAGAGGAATTGATGCGTTTAAATGAATTATTAGACTCGACAAATAAATGCAATACTTAGGGAAGAAAAAAGAAAACGAAAATTCACCTAGGGTGAAGCATGAAATATATATTAAGGGCGTCAATGAGCAGACAAATTCCCAAATTATTCATTTTTGTTACAAAGTTTAAAAACATTATCTATAATAGATACTACCTCCGGTCCTTAATATAAGATCTTGTATGATTTTTATTTTGGTTCTAAATATAAGACCCCAATCCACTTTATCTCTCACATTTATATTTTTTTTTCCTCAAAGTAGTTCTTTTAACAATAGTAGTTCTAACCAATACATTTGATTAGTATGGATATTTTAAGAAAGACAACATATATTTATTACAAATAACAAGAAAGACAACATATATTTATTACAAATAACTAATTTAATTTCTTTCCTTAATCTTCTCAAATTAGTCAACTAGCTTTTATAATTATGATCGAAGGTAGTATTATATTTTTATTCGTTGTACCCGGCAGTTATGTTTATATGCAGGCCCAGCACAATTTCTCATTTAAAAAGAATAGCTAAATATCCTCACGTGATCAGAGAGAATGATTAATAACTAGATTGATGAACAAAATTATCGGAATTAATGTGTTTTAAAGAAGGGAAGTTATTTTGAAAATCAACCCAAGTCAGAAGCCATGTATATGAACTTAAATATCCGAGTATCTCAAATCTTCGCAGTCAGTTTCTCTGTAAGGTTAATCAGTTATTCTATGAATTTGGTTGTCTGTCTTGTAATATTGTGTGTGTGTTTAGTTTTTCTCGGTTTGCCTTTGGTCCTAAGATGACTGACTCTGCTCTTAATTGTCTGTGATGACCAGATTGAACGCATTTCAGGATGAGGTTTGTGTTGAAACTTCTAAATGCTCCAAGTTTTTCCATGATCTCTCTAGCCTTTTTCTTCACTCTCTTCATAGGTACCAGTACCACCCTTTTTTTTTCCTTGTCTGGTTGGATTGATGGTGAAAAAAGTAACTTATTTTTTATCTGACTTTTAGAAAAGTAAGATTGGGTAAAAGTTAAATTAGATAAGTTGAATTGTGTTTGGATTGTAATTTGAAAAAATTAGTTTGTAAAAGTGAGATTGGTAAAAATTGTTTAGATTATGATTGAGTAAAAGTAAGTTTAGCTGTAAAATTACCAAAATTGGTATGGTTTTTAATAAATAATGAAACATGATTAAGAATTTTTTTATATAATACAATGAATTTAAAATAATTTAATATGAAGAAATAAAATTTAATGAGTAGCTTAAATTTTAAAACCTTAGAAAAATCATAAAAAATATTTTAAATATAAAGTGAAAAAAAAAAGAAGGAAGTACATCAAGGGTCTATTTTATAATAACACATAGATTGAAGCAGTTTGAATGGGAATCGCATGACTTTTGCTTTTACCCAAAAAAAAAAATCAGTGTGGGCACGTGTTATGACTTTTGAGTACTAAAATTTAACTTTACTACTCTTTTGAACAAAAAAAGAAAAAAGAAAAAAAAAACTTTCTAATTCCCCCTACCGTTTGTCATGCATGGGGGTTGCTGGTCAGTTGACGAATGAGACCCACACGCTTATTAATGCTCATGTTCAGTCGTTGCGCGATATTTGACGCATTAAAGCCAATAAGCTCTTCAAAATAAGTTGGGAAAATCCCAGAAAAAGCCCTTGGAATATATCAAATCTCATATTGGGCCCTTAAATTTCGAAAATGACAGAATGGGTCATTGACCCAATTTGTCATTTGTGAAATTTAGGCGAATTGAAATTTTTGCCCCTGAGCAAAAGTGAGTAGTTATTCTCTAAACAAATCTAGGTAACGCTTACACTGTTCTAGTGATTACAAGATTCGTTGTAGTTAATAATAAGGTACCTGACTAATAAGATACTTGACTATGAAAAAATGAGTAGTTATTCTCTACACAAATCTAGGTAATGCTTACATTATTCTAGTGATTACAGCATTAGTTGTAGTTAATAACAAGACACCTGACTATAAAAAAGTGAATAGTTATTCGCTATACGAATCTAGGTAACACCTAAACTCTTATAGTGATTCCTTGAATCATTGTAGTGAATGAATAAATGAGGGCAAAATTGTCAATTCGCCTGAATTTCACAAATGACAGATTGGGTCAATGACCCATTTTGTCATTTTCGAAATTTAAGGACCCAATCTGGTATTTCCCATATTCCAAGGACCTTTTTTGGGATTTTCCCAAATAAGTTTGTTCTCTGGGCTTCTGTTGGAACGCACGTTCAGGAAGCAGACAAGTTATATTGGGCTTAAGCCCTTCCAAACACAAGCAACATTTTCAATCGGGTTTTTGCCCAAAATAAACTGTTTTTCACCTATTTAAGCCCAACCAAACATGCAGATTATCTTCGATCCCAAATATGAAAACTAGACGGGTAGAAATTCCAGTCTCAACGATCTCACTTTGGGAAGAGTGATAGTAGCGTTAAAAGTGTTACCGCTATTGACAGCTCATACGAGTTCTGGAGAAACTATGGCTCTCGTGCTCTCAACAAGCCTAACTTCGCCATCCTCAGACCAACCTCCTTCTAGGGAGGAAGACGACCAGGTTAACAGAAGTGCCAAAAAGATTAAAGGGGGAAATACGACGGTGAATAGCATCCAGAGTTGGCCCACCTTAAGTGACAGTTATAGAGATGCAGCAAATAAGAAGGTCTCGTTTGCTCAAAAGCTGAAAGGAGTTTCAGACACAGACAGAGGAAGGGAGACGCAGACTAAAAGCATAGAGTTAGACTCTGAGGAGGAAAAGGATGATGAGACGGAAGGATTGGAGGAGGAAGAGAATGATTTCCAAGTGATTGAGAATCCGAAGAGGAACTCTCCTACTTTTGTCTTCTCCAAAAAAATGAAGAGGAAGTTTTACAGAGCATGGAAAAGGTCTGTTATTGTCAAATTGCTGGGACGTTCGATTGGTTTCAAGGCTCTTGAAGGAAGACTCCAGACAATGTGGGCAAGAAGAGGAGTCATTTCTTTGATTGATATTGGCCATGGATTTTTCATTGTCAAACTCTCAAACAAACAGGTCTATTTGGAAGCTCTCACAGGGGGTCCCTGGATGGTGTATGACCATTATTTAACAGTTCGACCCTGGGAACCAAATTTCAAAGCTGCTACAGCTACAATTGATAAAGTGGCTGTATGGGTGCGCTTTCCAAATGTGTTCACGGAATACTATGACATAGAAGCTCTTTCTCTCATGGGTGATAGAATTGGTAAAACTTTGAAAATTGACCTCAATACTGCCTCTCATCTTAGAGGGCATTACGCTAGAGTATGCGTCCTTGTGGATCTCAGTAAGCAGCTCATGTCTGGGTTTCACTTGGATGGAGAAGACTATTATTTGCAATATGAGGGCTTACACCTTCTATGTACGAGGTGTGGAAACTATGGTCACACGGCAGAGGAATGTAAGATAAAGAGTAAGGAGCAAATGCCATCTGCGCCAGTTGATGAAAATATGGCGACCACGAGTCGTGAACAAGCAAAGGAAAAGATGAAGATGCATCAGGATGAGGATTCATGGTCGGTGGTTCAAAAACCACGCCGGCAACGAAAACAGAGAGAAAAGCAGCAGGAACAGAGTCGGAGCGCCAAACCGAATTCACGGTTTGGGATCCTAGTTGACGTGGAGGAGAGAGAACATATAGTAAATGCCGTGGAGGAGGGAGAAGCAGAACAAGAGCATAATCAAGAACGCACTACTCTGAAAAGAAATAATACGGCAAAACAGAGGAGAGGTCGTAGGAACAGTACGGGGAAAGGACAGAGTAGTGGGCATTTGGAAGACAATTATGGTGGAGGCATATCGGGAGTCAAGGTGGGAGAAAGGCAAAAGGAGACAAAAAGAGCTGATAAGAGAGCACGTGAGGAAGTAAAGGAGGGGGAAGAAGAGAAGGCACGTGAGGATTTTTGTAGAAAAGAGGATTTGATTGACCCACTGAATAGTCACAAAAAGCAACCATTATTATTAATGGGCCCAAGCCATTCTCACCTTGATAATGATCAGACCCAATTACCATCTACAAGAGTCGAATCCACTATGATGCTACCTCTTGAGGGAGTTGGTCCAGGAGACACTCGTATGGATGAGGGTATAGGGGAACCAATAGTCAATAGTGCACAAGTGGACCTTGATTTAGAAAGCCCAATGGAAATCATGAAGAGTGGACATGAGGTAACCTTGGGCTCTTTCGTCCCTGAAACCCAGTTGAATTAAATTTGGGTTTTAACCCAAAATTTTTTCTATCTCTATGGATAGCTTTATCTATTGGAATTGTAGGGGGGCTTGTGGAAAGGACCTCCTACCAAACTTGAAGGTTTTAGTGAATAATTACAAACCCAATCTGATGGTGCTAGCTGAAACACGTTGCAATGAGCCCAAAAGGTTTGATAAGTTAACAAGACTGGGCTTTAATAAAATTGTTTCAGTGCCTAGTGATGGACGCTCGGGTGGTCTTGTCATTATGTGGGATGAAGACCGAAGCCATATCAGAATTCTGGAGCAAGATCAGCAATTTTTTCACCTAAGCTGGGAATACAATCAACGAAAATTATTCTTGACAGCTGTCTACGCAGTACCGCACTCAAACCATAGGCAAGCTCTATGGAATAAATTGAAGCTTCTCTCACTCAACTTATCAGAACCGTGGATCGTTTGTGGCGATTTCAACGATATCCTCAACAGTGATGAGAGGTTAGGGGGTGCTGGTGTAAATCAAGGGCGGCTAAACTGGTTCAAGAACCAGATTGATGACTGCAGCTTATCTGATTTGGGAGCCGTGGGACCAAGATTCACTTGGAAAGGTCCGATTATTCAAGGATACAGGAGGCTCTTTGAAAGATTGGACCGCGGGTTAGGTAACTCTTCTTTTCTCTTAAATTTCCCACACAGTGTTGTTCGAAATTTACCAAGAACAAAGTTTTCGGATCATAACCCCCTTCTAGTCTCCTTTAATGTTAATCGCAATACTGCCCTCAACTCTCGTCCCTTCCGTTTTGAAGTGATGTGGATGACTCATGAGGATTTTCAAAAATTCTTGAGCACTAGTTGGAGCAATCCAGGTGACCTTGAAACCAAACTTCAACAGTTTTCTATAGCTGCTGCATCTTGGAATCGTGATGTTTTTGGAATGGTTGAGAAAAGGAAGAGAAGAATTATGGCAAGATTGGAGGGAATCCAGAAATCAAATTCATACCCTTACTCATCCTTTTTGCAAAACTTGGAGATGGAACTGCAAACAGAATTAGAAGCTGTATTAACTCAAGAAGAGCTAAAATGGTTTCAAAAATCTCGTGGAGAGTGGGTCAATAAAGGAGATCGCAATACTCGGTTTTACCATTTGAAGACGACAATTACCAGAAGAAGGAATCGTATAGTTGCTTTAAAGGATAGCAACAATGATTGGGTTTCCAACGACAAAGACCTTACTGTTATGGTGGTTGATTTTTTCAAAAAGCTCTTCACGGAAGAAAATCAGGTTCATTCTAGTCTTGATACCTCTAATTGTTTCCCATATCTGGATGATTTTAATTACTCTAAGCTTGCTCAATTACCAAGTGAGGATGAGATTAAGAAAGCAATGTTTTCTATGGGCCCTTATAAAGCCCCTGGAGTAGATGGATTTCCTCCAATATTTTTTCAAGCCAATTGGAGAACAATTGGAATTGAAGTTTGCAGATTTGTTCGAGGTTTTTTTGATGGATCTGTCTCAATCAAGGAAGCAAACAAAACTCTAATTTCTCTGATTCCCAAGTGTGCAACCCCTGAATACGTCACTCATTTCCGTCCTATTTCACTATGTACTGTGCATTATAAATGTGTGACAAAAATTCTGACTTACAGGCTAAAAAGTATCCTTGATCGTGTTATATCTCCATTTCAAACAAGTTTCATCCCAGGGAGACATATACAAGACAATATTATCATCGGGCAAGAAATCCTTCACCAAATGGATAAAGCTAGGGGCAAGAGAGGATGGGTTGCAATGAAGATTGATTTAGAAAAAGCCTATGACCGCATGTCTTGGGCTTTTATACACCAAACTTTACTCCTAGCGGGATTACAGGGCCGTATCTGCGAGCTTATTATGGACTGCATAACTTCTGTCTCAGTTAATGTGCTGTGGAATGGCTCAAAGACAGAATTCTCTTGCACTCAAAGAGGGCTTAGACAAGGTGACCCAATATCACCTTACATCTTTGTCCTATGCATGGATCGTTTGTCTCATCTTATATCTGATATGGTAGAAGAGGGACGGTGGAGACCTATAGGGCTTACCCGAGAGGGACCTTTTATATCCCACTTGATGTTCGCAGATGATCTTTTATTTTTTGGAGAAGCTACCAAACAGCAGGTGCAATGCATGCTTGATTGCCTTAATTCATTCTGTTCTGCTTCAGGAGAAAAGGTGAATTTGGGAAAATCTTCTATTTTCTTTTCCCGTAATGTCAAGCCCCAAGTAAGAAGTAGCCTTCGTAACATTTCAGGAATGAAAAATGTAAACGATATTGAAGTATATCTTGGAATGCCAATGACAAGGAGTAGGAGAACTACAGAGAAATTCAGATATATTGTGGAAAAAGTGAAGGACAAACTAGCTACTTGGAAAATGAACTGTCTTTCGCTTGCAGGAAGAATTACACTGGCAAAATCAGTGTTAAGCACAATTCCATTGTACCCAATGCAAGTAGCAAAACTACCTGTAACCATTTGCAATGAAGTTGAAAAGTTACAGAGGGGATTCATATGGGATGACTTACAAGAAAGGAAAGCTCATCCAATAGGGTGGGATAAGATCTGTTTACCGAAGAATGTTGGTGGCTTAGGCTTCAGGAAACTTTCTTCCATGAACAAGGCATGTGGTGTGAAAATAGCTTGGAAGTTGAAGAGTGAAAGTACTAGGCTCTGGGCTGATGTCCTGAGACATAAATATATATATTCCAGGACTGGATGTGAATGGGAGGCAAAAGCTACAGACTCTAGACTATGGCACTTTATATGTCAACAACAGCAAATTTTAAACCAAGGCATTTGCTGGCAAATTCGTAATGGCTGCACTGTTAAATTCTTTACTGATGCTTGGCTGAAACCTTTCTTTTTCCTTAAGGATGTTTGTATGAGGCATGTTTCTGATATAGAACTAGAATCTGTGGTGGCTACATGGGTTTCAAATGGACAGTGGGACTACAATCGTTTGAGTAGCATTCTTCCTCCTGATATTATTAATATGCTTATTGCAAAATGTCCTCCTAATGAGGTATTGGGGGATGATATCTTAATATGGGGAGGAAATAATTCTGGACAATTCAAAATTAAAGATGCTTATTGGATGATTGAAGACAAAGGAAACTCACCTATTTCCCGTGTCTTTGATGTTATATGGAAGTGGAAGGGGGTGGAAAGAATTAGAGTCTTCCTTTGGCTCATGGTACAGGATAGGCTTCCTACAAATGAGAGACGCAGCAGATGGAGTTTAACCAGTCCCAATTGTCCATGGTGTTGCGATTCTGTCGAGACTATTACTCATATATTGCGGGATTGCAGATATGCAAAACAGCTATGGGAGGAGTTGGTTCATCCTAGATGGAAAAGGCATTTCTTCTCAAAGAATCTCACTGAATGGGTTCATTTTAATCTTAAAAAAGAGATTGGCTTGAATGAGGAAGCATCATGGTCACAGTTATGGGGAGTTGCTACTTGGAAGCTATGGAACTGGTGCAATCTTCATGCCTTCCAACCAGGTTTTATCAAACCTGAAGATCCAATGAGAGTGATTCTAAATTTATACAAGAGTTATACTTTTGAGCCCACTGTTTATCCTATCAATAGTTTTGGTGCAGTAACTTATCCCATTAAATGGAGGAGACCGGGAGAGGATTGGATAAAATGCAATGTGGATGGGGCTGTTAATACTATTTCTGGACAAGCAGCTTGTGGAGGTGTTCTACGGAATAGCCAAGGAGAATGGATAGCTGGATTCTCTAAATATCTGGGGAAATGCTCAGCTATAGAAGCAGAGGAGTGGGCTATTCTATCCGGTATGAACATTGCATGGGATCTGGGGGCTACGGAAGATCATTGTTGAATCTGATTCTAAGGAGTTGATTGAGAGGATCATCAAACACCCAGTTGAAAGAGGGAACTTCTCTTCGGTTTGGACTTTGATTGTCGAGATGAGGAAAAGGAACTGGAGTATACAGTTTCAATATACACCAAGAGATACCAACAAAGTTGCTGATAGGCTTGCGAAGGATGGCCTCAGTAGGGTACACGGTTTTGTTTTTATTGATACGGTCCCAGACTCGCTGAGGGCCCTCGTGCACCGAGATTATATGGGATCTCTATCCCCTCATGTGTAGTTTTTCTTTGTAATGGGCTAAGCCCTCCTCTTTACCAAAAAAAAAAAAATATATGAAAACTAGACAGCCTGTTTATTTTGGTTTTAAATGTAAAACTTTAATTTATGTTGCCTTCCAAGTTTACAAGTTTTTGTCCAAAATATTCTCACTGATTGTGCTTAATAAGGGAGCTCTCAATCAATGAGTAATTCTGAAGAGAATAATTTAGAAAAATCTGTACATATTTATTATAAATAACTAATTTAATTTATTTTTTAAAGTATTTGTAAATTAGTTTTCTAGCTTTATATGGAGGGCAAAGAGAAAACTGACACAAGTTAAACCCTTCTTATAATTATATTCCCCTAAAGCCAATCTCATGCTTGTAGATTGAAATGAACTTGATCATTAGGTGTTGTAAATTTTATCAACTTCATTTGTTTCAAACGCAGTGAGAAGCTTAACACGCAAGGAAGAAGCTGAAATTACACGAACAATGACAAAAGGAATAGAATCATCCAACACAAACACAACCATTACCATCCCTCAAAGGCTTCTGCAATCATCAGGTACATATGAGATATGCTATTGCTTTTGGTTTTTCAGATACAAAAAAAAAAAAAAAGGTTGTATGTAACGATTGAGTTCTCAATTAATGCCTTGTTTCAGATTTTAACGATGGCATGAAGCACTTAGGTACAAGCTGCTCTAAGCAGGACAGAGAGATTCATCAAGAACAAGTATCTCCTCGTTCAAATGGAATTCCAGTGTACTTAGTCAAAATAACCAACATGGGTGCATCAGGTTGCAGCGTCTGCACGATCCACCGTCGTTGTGGCTGGTTCAGTTCTGCTACGTTGGTGAACCTCAGGGTGCTCAGAAGGCTTCATTTTGACGATTGCTTTGTGAATAATGGTCGCCCCATTGGCCCTGGAACTTCCATTTTCTTTCATTATGCAAATACCTATCCCTACCGTCTTTCTGTTTCATGAGTTGTTTGTGATCATCCCTGATCTTTGGCATTCAGATCCTGGCCTCCTTTAGGAAATGTTTAGCATAGGTGAGTTCAATTGAAGCTGCAACGTTAGTTTTCTTTAAAGTTAATTACTACTACTATACGATTGTCTCTATGCATATTCTTATCAAGTGTTGAACTTTATGCCCGTGTTCGAATTCCATTGCTTGCACTTAGCAACAAGAACATCAGTACATCACAAAATGAAGATAAAATGCCACATGCTAGCATTCTGAAACAGGGGATCCCCTAGCTAAGCGTCCATGCTTTGTCCCAAAATACTGATTATTTATAGATTTTTAGTTAACAATAATGTCTTTTGTTGTAACTATCATTACGTTTAGGTTAACTAGATCTCAGAGGTTGTTAGTTAATCATTCATGAGATATGAGTTGTATGCTTATCAATCAAATCAATATTTTCAGGCCTAAACTTGAGACCTCAGATTAAAGTAATACGACTCTTTTATTAATTGAGCACGTGCTTGATGGTTAATAAGAACGTCTTTTCTTAATATTAATCATATTATTTTGACTCTCTTGGATTCTTTTTACTCCCCCTTTTGTCAACTGACGTACAGAAACTACTTTCTGTTAACATACTTGTACAATGTGCATTAACCTCAGACTGTGTTGGTATTTTCTGCGATCACGTAGGCAGTCCATGCATGCGTATCTCTTCGGAGTGATAAACACAATTGAAACAAACATTCTGAAGTAATGATTTAACTTATTAATTAGTTGTGAACAAGTTCGAACCTGCGCTCTTTTGTGCACTGCGAAAGGGGTGAGGAAGATGCAACGTTTTTTTTTTTTTTGGTCCAAAAAGGAAGATGCAACGTTTAATTAAGCACCCGTGCTGTAACATTCTTAATTCCCTTGACCCTATTCACAGTCTTCTAGATTGATATTAAGTGCAATATTTGGTATGAGGAACATTGATTTGAGTTTTCCAAATATTCGAAGAGTTTCATTCTTAAGAATAAGTCCTGATGAGGAACACATATCTGTTTCAGAGGAATATGGAACAGGCCGTTTAGGTACAGCCTGCTCTAAGAACGACTTAGAGGCTCGGCAAGAACAAGCATCCCCACTTCCCAATGGGATTCCTGTTTGTTAGGTAAAAATATTGAACGTATGTGCATCAAATTTCAGAATCTCTAATATCATCGTTCATTGGGGGTGGTTCAGTTCTGCCACTCTAATTAACCCCAGAGTGTTTAAAAGGCTCCCCTATGACGCTTGCCTTGTGAAAGCTGGTCATTCCATTGGCGTTGGAAGACCTATTTTCTTTCAGCATTCAAAGACCTCGAATAACCTTTTTCTTTTTCATCCTTCGTCTACACTCATGCCTGATGAGGCATGATTACGTGGGCTGTAACCATGTTGTGTTAATAATTTAAACAAGTGTGTGTGTGTGTGTCTTTACTTTGTCATCTTATTATGAAGGTCTTAGTATTGCGTTTGCAATGATGAATTCCATTGTTTTTTAGCAACAAGGAAATTCATACAGCACGAGATGAGGGTAAAATGATCATATAATCACATTCTAAACAGAGAATATGCCTAAAATACATTAGTTTGGCGCCAAAAGACCAGACTGAAATTAGCTAAGCAGTTCATGTACCAGGAGGTGAACTGGCAAGAATTGCAGCAATTCAATATCCATAGTCGTAGCTAAAGTCAGTCACACCGACCATGGCAGAAAGCACTTGAGAAACAAGATAGATGCTGCCCCCAAAAATAGCAAGAACGAGAATTGCAGAAATGGGGTTCTTCAACAACTCCACGATTGGCTGGAAAATGGTGTAAATAGCGCCTGTGCTGACGGTAAGAGCGTAGAGAGCGTATCTCCTAACGTTATCCCAAAATTCCTCCATTAATGGACCTTCAGGACCCAAAGCTAAGGCCTTTTCGCCATCGATTCCAATTAGAACCAGAAAAATCCCCAGAGAAACAGCCCCCACCGTGAGAAATCTGGAATTTGAATGCCCATTTTCGGGAACTTGAAGCTTTTTCGATAAGATTTGGTCTCTGGGTGAAACATCCAGAGTTGGATGTTTTTTGACAGGAATTAAAGCTTTAGAGGTCGGTTTGTGCTGGGAGAAGTCCCCATGCGATGCTATTTTGATGGGTTTGAGAAAAAATGGATGCTTTGAAGAGGAAGAAGTGGGAGTGGAGGTCCTGAGAATGTAGAGTTGTGATCTGAGGCTGAAGATCTTCATCTTCTTGGTGTTCTCCTCGTGTTCTGTTCTTACGATAAGGATTTTGCAGCATCCGTCGTAGGCGGATGGCGTGGACACTGACCAGTGGCTATACCAATTTATCTTATCTTTGCTCGCATCTTGCATCCAACTTTTATCCTCTTGCATATTTCCGCGTCGCGGCTTTTTTTTTTTTTTTGGTTGCCAACCGATGCCGCACCTTTTCTTTCAACAAAAGTAAGTCCTTGCATTCTATGAAATATGAAAAATATAACTGTCATTTATTCATATCTCAATTCTCTTCCGTAATGTTGAAAACTCAGATTTCGTAACATACATTACATTAAAAGAGTTATTTTTTTTTATTAACAAACTATTGATTAAGATGATAAGTGATTTCACTCCCTAAAAAGAACACAAATTCAAATATTAAAAAACACATTTATTAAGATGAGAGTTTAAACTTAACATTCCCGTACAGGGCCAAATAAGTTATTGGGTGTTCTTTTAATGGTTTCAGTATCGGCGGGATTATTAACAGTACCTTTTTGGGAGAATGTTAATAAATTCCAAAACCCATTTCGTCGTCCAATAGCGATCTCAAACTCGAAGTGATTTAAAAATACTTGAGTTATACATGTTTAAATCAAAATTGTCTCGTATTATGTAGCTTGGCTTTGGAAGATTTTCAGCAACGAATTTCATGTTGAGTTAAATAAATCCTTTATATCTATTTATTTATTTTTATGTTTTGAAAAACTAATCAGACGCAAATGATATGTAACTTCAACTTGACCCGGCAATTTGCCGCATCACTCATAATCCTATCAGAGACAGACCAATTTCAGTACATGATAAAGTTTTATAAATAAATTGACATTTGCACACTCAAATTGTTCGATCCATTAACTTCCAATTTTAAGAAGTTCTAAATAGACACACAAGTTGGCTTTGAACAGAAACTACATCTTTGTCAATTCATGAATGTCAACAAAAACTAATACAACATGGTTATTATTAGTTGGACTCAATTTTCTTAACTAGTTCCCCGAAAGCTTAAAACCAATTCTCTCAAGTACATAGGCGACCAGATCAGGCAGGAAAAATAGAGGGAGGGAAGAACACAAAAGACAGTTCTCAACCGTAGAATGAATCAATTTTACACACCACGAAATTTGATGCCGCGGTTTGATTAACTACAATCATATCCCAGTATCTCAACATTGTTTCTGGAGAAAGAAGAGATAGTAATGTTAGAACACATTACAAGCAGGAGAGATATATATATCAGTCAGGGCATGGCAATCCCCTTCTTCATAAGTATATCGTACACGCAATCAATCTTGCTGCTATCCATATTGAATAAGTGGTGGGCATCAGATTTTGCAGTGATATTGCCACTCAGTATTTGTACAGATAGAACCTCTTGCATCTTCAGGAAGATGGCTGGAGGCAACCTATGCTCACAGCATAGACGTTTTTCCTGCCCAGAAAGTTGCACACCATGATTTCAAGACAAAAGATGAAGAAACTATGGCATTTAATAACACATGACAAGTTCAGACGTGAAACAAAAGGGTCAATTGTAGCTTATATGGTTTAACTTGTTTCATTCAACTCTCGTTAGGCTTGATCCACTATCAATTAACCATGCAGTGACATGATGATGCGAATACTAAAACGATGAAAAGTTTTGCCACCGAAAGCATGATTCACCTTAAAGAAATTCGCATTTTGAGAGGACTAGCATGTAATTCTATCTTGAATGAATGAATCACTTCTTATTCGGGAAAAAATGCATTAAAAATGGCTTCCAGGTACAATAAAAATGTCTCCCATTTCAATGCTTTCAAGATTCTATTTTTAGTTAAAATTTTATTGTAAAATAATACAGGATGATTATAAGGTAATTGAACAAAAAGACAAACTAATCTTGGGCTAAACCATGCAAGAATAGACTGTAATCTACCAAAAAACAAATAAGATAGTCATTTAGAGTAAACTGGAAGAGACAAGTACTTACAGGTGCAGAAAGAAGATCAGCCCCATAATATCCTGTCACATCCATTTCATTGACAGAGCTCGAACCAGCAGGCCCTGCTGGTCTTGCACTTGAATCTTTGCCAGCGGAGTCTGGAGACATGAATGCACTTGGAACCCCATGATTGTTTGGACCAGTTTGAGCTCTTTCTTTTGACCTACGAGCACTTTCTTCTGCCTCTCTCCTTCTCTTCTGTTCAAGATATCTATCTGCTTCAGTCGATGTGCGGCAACCAGCAGCTCGGGCCTCCTGCAATACCGTGTATTACAGATGCATGAGCAAATGCCATTTACTTGATTTGCACACGCACAATATGATAAATCCTAGGGAACTGTAGTATGAAGCCAACAAGGGCATAGCACAAAGTCAATAGGAACTATAGTATACTCCATCATCTGAACGGAAACACACACTTCGATGAGTTTTAGCAGATGAATAACTTGACAACCGAGATTTTATATATTTAAACGGTCAATTCCTGAAATTTATGCCTAAGATAGGTGAAAGGGGATATTCCTGGTCACGTGTCAAGACACCACAAAAATGGTGTAACCAGAATCGGCCTTGTTCACAAATATGGTAGTGAAACAAATTTGCCCAATCAGCAGTATTAAAGGAACAAACTCAACAATATGTATGTCCAGACACCAAGATTTCTCCAACTTTCCAAAATAAGAGGAAAAAAAACCAGTGTTAAATAATTAGCCAGTAATATCAAATGGATCAAACCTGAAGCTCTTCAATTCTCCTACGAATTCTGTGCTCAGATATTACTACTTTAAGCAATTCCTCATGATCTTCCTTGGTATGAAAGCGCATGAATACATCATATTTTCGACATATAGTCCTCTCCTCAGGTGTTAAATCCTTCTCAAAAGGATTTGGGTATAGCAAATTTCTTTCAAGTATGAAATCCTTTCTATGTTTTCTTTCATCGAGCCTGCAGCCAAATTCAGAGATGGGAGTGAGAGTGAGTAACTGTCTCAATCTCTCACTATATTCTGTCATCCTTTGCGCTGCAAATGGTTGATTGTATATGACTCAGGAAGAGAGCCCTGTCGAAAAGCAGTATGTCTATTTACCTTTTTGAATATATACGCAGAATGCGTAGTTTCAGTTCCCGTTCGTCATCTGTGTCAGTGTCCTTAAATTCCATTTCAGCAAGTAACTGTTCAGCATCATTGTCATATTCAGGATCGAATTCCTGTCTTTTGGGGTTATAACCACTCAACTCTACTAAAGAAGGACCTTCATTTCCAGAGGAACTTGGCTTGTTTCCTCCAGAATATTTTTCTAGTTGGGCATCTGCCAGCGACAGAGAACATTAAAGTTGAGAAGCAAGTTCATTCAAATGCATTGGTCAGTAAGACACATAGAACAGTCATGCTTATAGCAAGAGTGAGACACATAGAAGTAACATCAGGCTATTATCCCTCTAATTTAGTTAGCCCACAACTGTGAAAGGTTTGTTTACATGAAAGAAGACATTTCCTCAATTTATTTTCTAAAGATGCAAATCACAAAGGAAGGAACTGGTCATTGTCACGAGGGACTCAAGACCATATGTACATACCTTCCATTTTGATAACTCCAGGACCATCTTTGCCCCGTCCCACATTAGATGCCCTCTGGTTAGCAGTTGCTGCAGTATGCGAACCACTAGAGTGTCCAGATTCTGATTCTGGAAAGCAAGGGAAACATAAAGACAGAAAAGAGAATCAACATGAGCACACTTGTTATATCAATCAATTAGTAATATGAACCCATTTTGCTTCACCTGAATTTAAGTTGGACTGTAAACGGCTAGATTTACCAGCTTTATGAGAATCTTCCACTCTGAATCAACGAATAGACATCAAAGAATGAGGTACAAAAGGTGGCATGAGATAATGCACATAAAAAATCACAGCCTTACTTGACTCTAGCTGGAGAAAATGGAGATTCTTCCTTTATGCCAAGATCCCCCATTGGAATCCCTGTGGCGATCACAAATGACAAATGAAGGGGGGAAGGGTGAATGAAATGCAGCAAAAGAGTCATGAACTAGCAAAAGCCACATACGAATCATCCAATGCTAATTGCAACCAGAAATTTTCATCTTTTCTCACCAAACAAATATACAAATAAATTATTAAAAAAAAATCTATCTTGAGAGTTGAGAAAAGCAGCAGTAGCCATGTCTGCAGCTCAATTATTTAGTAACAGTGCATTATGAATCTTATAAAGCTAGACCTCACTTCACTAACTGCAAAAAATGAGTTCATGTTGAAAAGACCTTTTTTGTCATCGCTTTGCCCTTTAGCCATAGCAAGCAGCTCCTTTCTGTTTTTCCCAACAACATGGGACATGTCCTAGAAAATTAGTTCAAAAGAGAGATTAAAATTTTCCTTAACAAGATAAGTACAATGAGGATGACCATGCAGCTTTGTTTGATGTGTAACATACGGGGAGAGGAAAGGTTTTGGAGTTCAAGTAAACATTCCTATAGTGTTCTATGCATGCTTCTTTATTCTTTGTCCCAACATGCTCAGCAACTTCTGCCCAGTTCCCCAAGCCGTACATTTCAATTCCCTAAAACCAAGAAATTAAGGCAAACAAGATCAGATAGAAGTAAGTGATTTTTTCTTTGTACAAAAATAACCAACAATCCTAAGAAGAAATAATTTGAAGAAAATACCTCCAGAAGCAGAATTTCATCATCTGCATTCCAATCTGGGCAAATGAGAGGGAAAGATAAATTATCCTGTCAAAAAGAAAGTGCATTAAAACAAAGCACAGCAAAAACTGCGAATAAAACAAGGATAATAAGCATGTTAACTCAAACAAGCTGTATGGTATTTATCCAGCTTTCGTTTAGCACAGATTCAGTTACAACATTAGACATCTTTAAAAAGTTGGTCAGGTATTCCACAAAAGGAAGGGAAAAAAAAATTGAGGTGTGAAAACTCCATTTAACATTCCAGTACTCGACTCACTAAACTAGAAATTGCCCAGAAACTCATCAATGACGAGAATGGATGTTTTTTAATGTTAGATCTTTCTCATCAACATGTTATAGAAAGACAGCAATGGAGTTAAGCCATTACTCACCATAACCCTGTAAGGGTGATTGCTTTTATGAGGGGTCACCTCAGCTCCCACAGAAAAGCACTCTATACATAGGTCAAAATCAGGACACATGGCACACTTAATACGTATTTTTCCTGTAATATCTTTGTTACAGTAATTGCAATGGTACAAAGCCTTTTTTCCTTCACTTGTTCCTTGACCTGGTTCACAAGAAAATCAATAAAAATAAAACACAGCCACCCTTGAATAAACAAAAGAAAAATAGTCATTTTAATGTAGCGGTCTCGACTGAACACTACAAGAGACAACAATTTTTCAGGCAAATCCCAATGCATCTATAACTCTCTTCTTGTTGCATGACCATTAGCAACTTTTCAGGCAAATCCTTACGCATTCGCTTTTTTCCAATCCAAAAAAGTGACTTTGGAGAATCGATTTTCTCAATAGCGGATCAATCCACCTTTTCCTTAAACCATGTTTAAACCTCCAAATCATGGTTTCTAGCTCATTTATCATTTTTTGACTTTTTTTTTTTTTCCGAGTGTTTGGATGAAATCACGCAAAAGCTCGATTTTGCTAGAAAAAGTGATTTTGGAGTGATTAGCCAAACATGCAGCGTGTTGAAGTTCCCGCATGCTGCAGTTACCAAGAGTATCTTTTACTCTCCTTTGGGAACCAAAACAATTTTATTCAAGATACCCAGAGTTACTCTCTAATATTTGGGACTAAAGCTAAAGAAGTCTGCCATCTAAGAACACATTCGGAGTTTGCTCTCAATAAAAAGGGAAAAAATAGGTTAAAAAAACCTGCAGCTCCAGGTTCTGTAATATCTCCACTAGCAGCATTCTTTTTTCTCCTTGACCTACAAAGTAAAAAACGGATATCATAGGAAAACACACAAACTTCACAACGGTAACTGTAGGACATGAGTGATACTAATGCTCCAGGTAATAGCCATTCGAACATCACAAAGCATGATCATACTTACCATTTACAGCATCAATACATGGCACAATGCAAATAGTTATGGCGAACTAATTTCAGCAAAATCAATGTGACTTGCAGTATTAAAATATAGTGATATATCAAGTATCAGTAGTAATTGAATTACAGAAGGAAAAGATCAAACCTTTGATTGGGGTCCTCATCAGCGTGGAAATTCCCACGAGAACGCCCCATTCGTTTGTTGCGATTAGCAGATTCCCTTACGCCTTCGTGAAATTGTTTGTTTGTTTGGCGAAGAGTCTATAATTCGTAGTGGGAAAAAAGACCCAACAGTTCTGAGATTCAAGACGAATGAATTAATTGAGAAGTATAGGTTTGAACTGGATAATTTCAGGTAAACTCTCGAGTTTACAAAACTGTAAGCTTTTGCGGAAGTAAATTTTGTACGAACTGCTAAATTACCACATGGTTCGTAATGGGAATCTAAGGTTGCGAAAGTCCCAGAAAATTTGACGATGTTTTGGGGACAAATCAAACGGACTTGGGGAAACCCAGCTAGAACCGGATTGCAAGGGATTAAAAAATAAAAAGAAAAGCGTTTCAGGGCCGCCTTACTCCTATTTTCGATTTTCCCACCAAATTTTTTCCGGCAAAATTATCAAGGGAAAATTTCACTGTAGGATCGCAGAAGACAATTAATATCAAAGAGTCCCAAAACTTTCTGAAACCTCACTGCAGGACCAAGGGACCAATCTGATATTAATTTTTAGAGTGAGATTACAATAATACCCCTCCCTTTTTATTTTATTAAAAAGTAAATATTTACCGGAGTTACTGTTCCGGCCACCGGAGGTCGAAGGTCCGGCCACTGGCGCTTAGGTGGCCACCGTCGGGGTCCGGTCACCGGTGGCCGGAACAGTAACTCCGGCGGGACCTCCGGTGGCCGGAGTTTTTTTGTTTAAAACAAAGTGGCCAAGGAAGGGTTTGAACCCAGGACCCCTTGGCACACCAAAAGACTTGTAACCACCAAGCCAAACAACCCATTCAATCATAAAATGCAAATAAAACTATATATAACAAAATAAACGCAACAGTCCAAATGTAAGTGAACAAGTGAAATTAGACGATTTACAAGTGGAATTCAGAAATTTGCAACAAAAATTAGACAATTTACAAATAACATAATAGAAGTCATAACCCCAAATGCAAGTGTTTAAGTGCAAATGAGCAAGTGAAATTTGAAGATTTACAATAAAATTTTATGGATTTACAACCCAAATTTGGTAAACACAAGAGAATTCACAACCCAAAATGTAAGTGTTTGAGTGTAAGTGAACAAGTGAAATTAGGCGATTTACAAGTGGAATTCAGCAATTTACAACAAAAATTAGGCAATTTACAAATAACATAATAGAACTCACAATCCCAAATACAAGTGTTTAAGTGTAAATAAGCAAATAAAATTTGAAGATTTACAACAAAAGTTTATAGATTTGCAAGTGAAATTCGACAATTTCACTTGCTCATTTGCACTTAAACATTTGCATTTGGGGTTATGACTTCTATTATGTTATTTGTAAATTGCCTAATTTTTGTTGTAAATTGCTGAATTCCACTTGTAAATCGTCTAATTTCACTTGTTCACTTACACTCAAACACTTACATCTTGGGTTGTGAATTCTCTTGTGTTAGCCAAATTTGGGTTGTAAATCCATAAAATTTTATTGTAAATCTTTAAATTTCACTTGCTCATTTGCACTTAAACACTTGTATTTGGGGTTATGACTTCTATTATGTTATTTGTAAATTGTCTAATTTTTGTTGTAAATTGCTGAATCACACTTGTAAATCGTCTAATTTCACTTGTTCACTTACACTCAAACACTTACATTTTGGGTTGTGAATTCTCTTGTGTTTGCCAAATTTGGGTTGTAAATCCATAAAATTTTATTGTAAATCTTCAAATTTCACTTGCTCATTTGCACTTAAACACTTGCATTTGGGGTTATGACTTCTATTATGTTATTTGTAAATTGCCTAATTTTTGTTGCAAATTTCTGAATTCCACTTGTAAATCGTCTAATTTCACTTGTTCACTTACATTTGGACTGTTGCGTTTATTTTGTTATATATAGTTTTATTTGCATTTTATGATTGAATGGGTTGCTTGACTTGGTGGTTACAAGTCTTTTGGTGTGCCAAGGGGTCCTGGGTTCAAACCCTCCCTTGGCCACTTTGTTTTAAACAAAAAAACTCCGGCCACCGGAGGTCCCGCCGGAGTTACTGTTCCGGCCACCGGTGACCGGACCCCGACGGCGGCCACCTGAGCGCCGGTGGCCGGACCTCCGACCTCCGGTGGTCGGAACAGTAACTCCGGTAAATATTTATTTTTTAATAAAATAAAAAGGGAGGGGTATTATTGTAATCTCACTCTAAAAATTAATATCAGATTGGTCCTTTGGTCCTGCAGTGAGGTTTCAGAAAGTTTTGGGGGCTCTTTGAAATTATTTGTCTTATGCGGTCCTACAGTGAAATTTCCCCAATTATCAATCTCATCATCGGTATCGGCAATACGAAATAGTAATATATAAGCCCTAATGTACAATGTTAAGGTCTAAATTTTTTTTTGCTGGTAAAAAAAAGGCCTAAATTTTTTTGTCAAAAATCTATATTAAATCTCAGTTTTTTATTTTAAATTAAAAATGTAATTTTAGTTCTTATTATTAATTTATTTAACAGAAAACATTGACTTAATAAATAAATACTAAAATATACATTTAGTCTTTTAACTTTGTATAAGGTTTCAATTTGGTTCTTTATGTTTAAAAAACACATATTTGGTCCTTTAGCCCTAAAATCATTAGGCTATAATGATGATTTTTTTTTAACAATCATGGATATTTTAAAAATTAAACTTAATATGTTAGCATTTGAGAATATTTTATTAACATTTAAAGTCTTAATGTCATCATTTTTTAAAAAAAATTAGGATTAAAGGATTAAAAGTATATTTTTTTAAAGTTAAAGGACCAAATTGAAACCTTTAATATATATATATTAGATTTTGGGGTTGCCTTTAAATTTTTTTTTTAACTAGTAAAAAAATAAAACGATATAAATAAAACCATCAATTGATATTGGGTCAGAACCATACTTCAAGGCTATGTCTGTTTGGTTGTGATATGGATGAGACTTTAGACCATTTGTTCATCTCCTGCCTTTTTTCTAAAGCTCTCTGGTTTGGATGTTTTTCAATAAGGTTCCTGCTACTTCCTTTAAGGAATTCAGAAATTGGTTCATTTCTTCAATTATGGAGCTGAATAGAAAGGATTGAATTATTTCATTCATGGACTAATACGTTTACTTAAGACTATCCGAAGGAAGAGGAACATTTTGCTTCATGAAGGGAAAAAAGATCATCCTATCACCGTGATTCAGGAAATCAAGAGCACTCTTTCCTTTATAGAGTTTGCTTTTGATAGCTTTAGTTCCTCCTGTTTCTCCAAGCAATGCCCTCTCGTGATGTACGTTTCTCACTTGAATTTGAGCAAAGATGGTTGGAATTTGTTACTTTTTAAATATAAAAAAATGACCAAACATTATTGTCATGGTATCATATGCTATGAGGGGATGCCTCTTAAAGAATTCTTGTGGCAAAACCAATCTTCTACAGGGTCTGCTTTTCACCGCAATTGCTTATGAGCTGCCCTCCTATGGATTTGTAATAGGAACCTGCATATTACTACAGACAAGCTTTCTGTACAAGTTTACCATGTTGAGAAGAGATTTCTTCAGCTTTCTTCTCATAATATCTCTGTTCTCGACATCACTTAGCAAGAAATACTTGCCATTGTTCATCATTTTTCTTTCTTAAACCTTGTTTTTTTAGTTTTAATTCTGCCGATGTAGGAATATTAAGTATTTGTAACTTATAATTACTTTTATCTTGAATATCATTTGGTCTTTGGTTATAAAAAAAAAATACTGGAGGCTTAAAGCCTAAAAACAGAAATACATTACGACAATAAGCCATAAACATTAATACAAATAAAATATGAAGCTTCAACCAATAGATATAACAAATGATCAGTATTTTAAAGACCTGCTAAAATTTGAGTCCCATCTCGGATCAGCTACAACACCATCAAACTAGATACTATTCAAAGTCTCAGAGCAGGAGTAGATACTACTTGGCAATTTTAATTAACATTACGAAACCCTACTATCTCCTACTTTGTGGGAAAACTGTACTGAACAAGTGCTAGACTCTTTCCTGTTTTTTTTTTTTTTTTTAAGATTGCAAAAGACATTAATTTATCGACAAGAAAAGCAATTTTTATTTCACTCTGGTTATGGGCACCAAACATAACATTATGTTTAGCTTTGTACCAGACTACTTTTTTCTTTCAATTTTTGAAATTTTAAATAGCCCTGGAAATTTATTTCACCTGTTATTTGAAGTGATTAGAATGGAAAATTGTGTAAAATTCAAGTGAGTCGTAGATTATTTTGATTAGTGACAAAATTTGTTATTTTAAATAATAACTCATGGTCAGCTCAAAAAAAAAAAATTAACTATGATATTTTTTTTTATCATTCTGTGTTTTATAAAACTCTTAAAATGAAATCAAAAAATAAAAATTGAATTATATTTATTTTTATGGTTTAACCGTGATCGATCGAATTCATTTTTAATTAAGCACATTTCAAACAAAACTTAAACTATACATAATCGGCTTTCTTAAGAACAAGCAAACATACAAAATCCACATTCATAAAATGGGCTTCCTTAAATGGCATGATATATAAGTCGTTTATGTTAAGAATAAGAAAATCTCACGTCCCTGTGAGATCCTTTGATCAAATACACCTACAAAAATCTTAGAGTTTAAGCAATACTTTTTTGGTTAAATTAGTACTCCAGCAACGCTAACTTCAAAAATATATTTAAATCACTTAATGATAAAGAAATCAGTAGATGGATATTAGAGATGAGTACGTGAATAAACTTTTTAAGCTACTAACAATTATTAATCTTCACAGCATAAGAATTCTATATCGTACATTTGCAGTTTTTTCACTCAACAGTGATTTTATTTCCGCATTGACGACTACATCCATGCTACTACTTTTCAGTTTTAAAAAAGCATTGTTTTTTATTGTTTAAATTACTCCTCCAGTCCTTAATATAGGACCCAATTATTGAGTTGGTTTTGGTTCTAAATATAAGACCCATTTCTTATATTTATCAATTTTCTCTAAATTACCCTTATTCATACTCCACCAACCATAATCAAGTAAAAGAGGGAGATGAAGTATTAAGAAAGATTATTATGGTATCTTAGAAAAAATGTGTCACATTTCTTATAATTAACTAATTTACCTAACTTTCTCAATCTAATCAAATTAGGTAAATGGGTCTTATATTAAGGATCGGAGGAATATATTTTATAAAATTCAAAATTTCATTAAGGCTGGGATTATTTGTTGGTGGCAACAGTTCTTTTGAAGGAGAAAGTTATGCACACAATTTTTAACATGTGGAGAATGCCTTTTTCTTAGGCTTAATTGGCTCCCACATATTCCAAACTTTCATGCAAATTCATGAGTTGATGATGAAATTTTTTTAAAATAATATAATGACAATCTTTGAGTATGGCTCCCACCGTTAAAACTCAAGTCAAATAATGATTTTTACAAAATAATAAGTTGATTTAAGCTTGTACATTTAAAGAAGGATAATATATTAATACACTAGAATTAAGCAGTAATAGAGGCTATTTATGCACAATAGTGCTGGAACATTATCTTGTTTGAATTTAAAAGGCAAAGAAATTTGTCATGGTATGATGTGTCATGAGAGTAACTAAATGCTTAAAAGAATTCGTTTGGAGAAACACGACTGCTAGGATTGAATTTTCATTCCAAATGTTGTAGGGCCTCCCTTCTCTGGATTATTCCTACGCGCTCATTAATTAATAGATCATCCAACTCTCCTTCTATTCATTGTGTGGGGGAGCTATTCATAAAAATACCAAAGTTGGATTTACAGCCCTCAATCATCACTTGGTGGGAAATTCTTTCTCATATATTTTAGTTTTCTCTCTTCGATGTTGATGTTATTTCTAAAAGTTCTTTTCTTAGCTTTTATTCCTATATTATAGATAGCCTTACTTACCCTAATTTATAACTCTATTTTTTATAATATATGTCATTTTGTCGTATTTCAAAAAAAAAATTGTAACCACTCACCGTGTTTTTGGACGGTTATTAAACTAATCAATAATTTACCTTTTCATGAAGACTAATACCTAACTTCTAAATATTTAAAGTATGTTGACGGAAATGGTTCTCTAAAAAATAAGAAGAGAAGAAATGAATTGTTCATGATGTCTTTAAGGCGTAGACAATTTTTGTTAGACTTAATTCGCCCTCACATATTCATATCTTATAAGATATAAGTTGGGTTAACCTGATGAATTTTATAAAGGGTATACAATAAAAACTTTTGAATATGGATTGCACTCCCAACAATACCTTTTATAAAATAATAAGAATTATTTTTTTATTTCTGCTTGCTCTTAAAGACAAAAAACAATAAATTTGGTCCTATTGTAGTTATCTGAAAATGGAGTGATGATTCATGAACTAACATAAATTACTACCTATATGTTAATTCATCAACCAACATAAATTAAATAATCAAAGGTTATTCAATAACTTTGTCATAAAAAGTTACACCCTTTTAGTATGTAGGGAATTGTTTTTAGAAACAACACAAATTTTCGTCAAGTGATAGTTATCACTTACGTCACCTTTTCATAGACAGACACACAATTTTAATGACTTTCAGTGTTGTAACACTTTATAAACCCTTTATGTAAATTTATTGATTCATATGAGGCCATGACTTTCCAAAAAAAAAAATCTCTTCATTTTAAAAATATTTCAACAAATAATTTATACATAAATAAGTACTTTCTTTCACCAAACCTCATGAACAGGAACACGCCTGACTTCTAAATGTGTAAAGTATTTATGAATTATTAGTACTTTCACCAAACATATTTTGGTTTCACATTCTTCCAAACTCCAAAGGAATATTCTTCCACAAGGACATGACTTTAGAGCTCCCTTCATGGTTTGTCGGCAACTTCTATATATATATATAGGACTCCAGTTTAAACAATATGCATCGATCAATTACATAACATCACTTGAAGCCTTCCCGTATGGAATCCCAATTTTCTTTCTTGCTTCTAATTTTCTTCTTCCTTTTCTTGTGGCTTTGGCTTGCAAAGCCGAAAAATAAAGCTAAGCTTCAAATCCCCGGGCCATGGAAGCTGCCTCTATTAGGAAACTTGCATCAGTTAGCAGCAGCAAGGTCTTCACTTCCTCATCATTTGTTTAGAGAACTCTCTCACAGATATGGGCCTCTGATGCACCTTCAACTTGGCGAGCTTTCTACAGTAATTGTTTCATCTCCGGAAATTGCCCAAGAGATTATGAAGACGCATGATCTTGCCTTTGTCAACAGGCCACAACTGCTTACTCCTAAGCTTATGGGCTATGGCTCTGCAGACATCGTTTTTTCCCCTTATGGTGATTACTGGAAGCATATGAGAAGAATATGTGCTTCACAACTCTTCAGTGCCAAGAAGGTTCAGACTTTCTCGTCTGCTCGAGAAGATGAGGTAGTAATTACATACATATTATTTCGGTGTATTCTTTGTTCACATTCCCCCTGGTACAAAACATAAGCATTAAATATTTAAAAGGGTTTGATTTTCTTACAAGCATCAATTTAGACTTGTATGATGATTTAATACATTTTTTATTTTTCCCCCTACTTAATTATATGTTTCTTTGATCTCTTTTTTCACTTATTTTCTATTCCACTTTCTTTTTTATAAATAAAAGTGTTTTAGAAAAATGAATTGTATTTTTTAGATATTTATTATCTTTAACTAATTTTTACCAACTTTTTAAATTGCATAATTTAGTTATTTAATATTTATATTTTGAACGATCGGAGTAATATATATATATATATATATATATATCACAATTTCTAGTTAAAAATTCAAGTAGTTGACCGTGAATATCGGGAGTACATACAGTAATTTGTCATAATTACTTGTTTAACTTCCTCAGTACTTCATCAGGTATTTGAGTTAATAGAATCAGTTCGGAGATCGGTAGGTTCAGATTTCGATGTCACGAGCAAGATCTACTCTTTGACCAGCTCAATTATTACGAGAGTAGCGTTTGGAGACAAGTCCAAACGGGAAAAGTTTCTGCAATTGATCGATACAGCGATCACGAGTGGCTTTGGCTTTGCTGATTTGTTTCCATCAATGAAAGCTATTCATCTCATAACAGGAGTGGAAGCAAAGTTAGCAAAGATTCGTACGCAGATCGATGAGTTCTTAGAGGATATTATTGAGGAGAATCAAGAGATGCAGTTTAAAGAAGGCAAGGGTGGTTCTGGCCAAGAAAATTTTCTTCAGGTTCTCTTGCAAATCCTACGTAGTGGAGGCCCTGGGATCCCATTTACAACAGACAACGTCAAAGCTGTCATTGCGGTTAGTAAACTTTATAATTGCCTGCATTGGAAGGTTTGCCATGAGTTTATCCTATGTTAAACTTATGTACTGGTACTTTTAAAAAGGAATTAAGATAAGTTTGTAATCCGAGGCCATTTACCTAAATGTGAAACAGTGCTAAATTAGTCATGAATGGGCCTTTCTATGTATGGTTCGTTTGACAAAACAAATAAAGCTTCAATTTTGTGTTTTATGTTAACCTATGGTCATCTGGGTTTAACAACGCTGGTTAATGATCACTATTTGTGACCACCGTTAATAATGCAGGATATATTTTCTGGTGGAACTGATACTTCTGCAGCAACAATGGAATGGGCTCTGTCAGAAATGGTGAGAAATCCAAAGGTAATGGAAAAAGCACAAGCTGAAATTAGAGAAACTTTCAAAGGAAAGAAAGTAATACATGATAGTGACATGGAACAGATTAGTTACTTAAAATCAGTAATCAAAGAAACTCTAAGATTACACCCGCCTCTTCCTTTGTTGATCCCAAGAGAATGTAGGGAAACCTGCGAGATAAGTGGATATGAAATACCCAATAAAACTCAAGTTTTTGTGAATGCATGGGCAATTGGAAGAGATCCAAACCATTGGTATGAAGCTGAAAGGTTTATGCCAGAAAGATTCCGTGGTGGCTGTAATGTTGATTTTAAAGGAGCAAACTTTGAGTACATCCCTTTTGGAGCAGGAAGAAGAATTTGTCCAGGGATTTCATTTGGGTTAGCAAGCATTGAGCTTGCTCTAGCTAGCTTGCTCTACCACTTTGATTGGAAACTCCCACATGGAATGAAGCCAGAGGATTTAGACATGACTGAAACTTTCAGTATTGTAGCTAGAAGGAAGAACAAGCTGTGCTTGATTCCCACACAAGCATGAAGCGCCGATCCTCTTCATGAGAATTCCTATTGAAGCATATGCAACTATAAGCTTAGTGGAAAAAGTAAACCAGAATAAGAGTTTCACATTTCTGTGAAATTCACGAATAAGGTCTCTCCGAGGATTTTGTGACTTTTCGGAAAAGGTTGGTTCATCATATGTGACTTATGTATTAATAATGATGGTGATAAATCTAGAAGCTTCATTTGTAATAAAAATATATATAGTATTTGATATGGTTAGATTAAGGGTCGTATAAAAGAAGTTTAGTATAAGAATTGGCTTAGGTGTTTGTATTCCTCTGAAACCTAAAATTATCAGTACGATATATTTTAATATTTGTGTTTTTCTTTGATCTTCCCAGTAATACCAGTGTTTCATTTCATCCTAACCAGTGTTTCTTCAAAGTTCAAACCCTGTGGTCCAAGTATTTTCTTGTTGGTTTCGCTTTAATGTCGGGCTCTAATGTAAACTTAGAAAGACTAACGATATTCGGTCATATATGAAAAATGAAAAGTGCTATATCAACATCACACTCGTTAAGGTAAACCCTGATCCCTCAATTCATACGCAATAATGGTTGACATGTAGACAATAATAAGCATTAAGATTAAGTAAACCACCAAGAAACACAAATAAACGGTAAATACGAGTTCTAATCCACAAATTTGCTCATAATAACTCTAGATTAAGAGATGACTAACAAAATATAAAGCTAAATCCAACATTAAAACCATCAAATGAGAGAGAAGCTAGCACTAAATCTAACTCCTCCCCAAGCCTCCAAGTGCCTCTTTTTCCCAAAACGTCCCTCTTTTGTCTGCTATAATTCTCAATTGTCCCTCAGGCAACAGCATCATATATACCTTGGTGTAATTACACTAGCTGATATCTCCTTTAATTTCTAAAGACGTCCAATGTTGCCTAAAAAACACAAAAATATCGATGAATTCCAATTGATGAAATTAATGATCTCATTTCTAATTCCAATCAAATTGATTAGGTAGAAGGTATTATTTAAGATGCCTTAATGACTCCCTAAAAAAGAAAACAAGCCTTATCCCACTATATGGGGTTGGCTACATGAATCACACGATGCCATTGTGTTCTATCAACAATCAAGTCCTTAGATATGTTGTTAACCAGAAGGTCCCGTTTTATAATCTCATTAAGCGTTCTTCTCGGTCTTTCTTTATCCCTTTTTATGAAACTCCATACTATCTGATCTACCCTTCTCACCGGGGCACACTGACTCTTGCTCTGATATTTTCATTTCAGATCTTATTTTTTCTTGTATGACCACATATTCATCTCAACATCTTCATTTCTGCTACCCCAACTTTATGCTTTTCTTTTCTCTTTATTGCCTAATATTGATTACCATACAACATAAATGGTTTTATAGCGGTCCGATAAAATTTTTTCTTAAGCTTCTCATATACCTTCTTATAACAAATAACTCTAGTAGCCTTCCTCCACTTTAACCAACCAGCTTGTATTCTATAAGAAACGTCTCCATCAAGTTCACTGTCCTCATATACAATGGATCCTAGATATTTAAACTTTGATACTTGAGGAATGATTTGATCTCTCATCTTCACCTCCAAATCACCATTGCCTTACCTCCTCCCAAAATTGCAATGCATATATTCTATTTTGTTTCTACTCAAGTAAAAACCTTTGGACTCCAAAGTCCTTCTCTATAACTCTAATTTAGAGTTAATCTATTCTTTTGATTTAGCCATGAGCACTATGTCATCTGTGAAAAGCATGCAGTTAGAGATTCTTTCTTGAACAAGCTCAGTTAAAACATTCAGAATAATATTAAATAAGTAAGGACTCAAAGAAGATTCCTAATGTAGGCCAATCTTAGTGGGAAAGTGTTTTGTCTCACCTCTAGACATTCTTACATTGGTAGTTACCCCCTCATACATATCTTGTATGGCTTTGATATAAGAAACCTATATACCTTTCTTTTCCAAAGTCTTCCAAAGTATTTTTCTTGGCACACGATCATAAGTTTTTTCCAAGTCAATAAAAACCACATGTAAATCCCTTCCTTTACTCCTATATCTTTCCATTAACCCCTTTAGTAAATAAATTACTTCAATTGTGGATCTCCTTGGCATAAATATAAATTGGTTCTCCAAAATAGAAATCTTCAACTTCAACCTAAGTTCAATCACTGTTTCCCACAATTCATCATATAGCTTATAAGTTTTATCCCTTTGTAGCTTGCACAGTTTTGAATATCTCTTTTATTTTTGTAAATAAGAACCAAAGTGCTTTTCTTCTATTCATCCAACATATTCTTGGAGCGTAAAATTTCATTAAAAATCTTGGTTAGTCACAATTCACCCTCCTTGCCTAAACATTTCTAAACTTTAATAGGAATACTATCAGGTCCAACGACTTTACCATTGTCTATAATTTCTTGAGAGTTGCGTTGATCTCTTTGATACGGATTCTATGGTAAAAAGCCAAATTCTAATCATCTTCGCTAATTAGCAAATCCTGTAAGTTCTGAATTGCACATTCGCTTCCCTCATTAAATAACTTATAAAAGTAAGCCTCTCATCTATCCTTAATCTCTCCATCAATAGCTAGAACTATTACCATCTTCATCCTTTATACACTTCACTTGGTCCAAATATCTCTTTTTTCTTTCCTTTTGCTTTGCAATCTTATAAATATTTCTTTCCCTTGCCTTTGTTTCTGACTCCTTATAAAACTCCTCATATGCTTTGGTACGTGCTTTGCTCATTGCTCTCTTTGTCTTTGTTTTAGCCAAACGATACTTTTTCTAGTTTTTTGCACTACTGCACAAATATGTGGCTTTAAAACAATTTCTTTTCTTTCTAACTTTCTCTTATATACTCTTCTCCCACCACCAAGTCTCATTATCTCTCTGACCACGACCTTTGGATTCTTCTAAAATTGCTTAAACCACATGAACCCTCATAGCCATCTCCTCCCACGTAATGTTCACATTTCCTTACAACTCCCAAATCCTTTCCTCCAAAAAAGTCCTTTTGAAAAACTCCCGCTTCTCACCCTTTAACTGCCATCTGCCACCACTTAACCCTGGGATTTACCACTTGATAATGCTTTTGTCTGATACTCTTAAAACTCACATTAAGAATAAGTACTCTATGTTGGACAGTCACCCTATTCTCAAGAATCACTTTGCAATTAGTACACAGCCTTAATGACTCCCTAAATATTATAAAATTTAAATGTCACGAAAAAATATAAAATATCAGGAATCATCACTACTCATATGTCAACAAGTAGAAGCCATATGGCTGAATTGTATCCATAAAGTTTTGAAGTACGATCGATCATTTTATTATTGATGGGTCTTAATTTATTTGTATACAAGGATTTTAAAAGTATATACTTTTGGACTAAAATTCAAGGATCCATGTAAGAAAAACCTGGCCATCATCAATTATTACACAACAAGAGCCAAGAGGGGTGGCCAAAAACTAAACGAGACAAGAGTGTTGTGTAAGTTTTCGTTCTTATTCAATATGTGGTGCAGCCTTCATGCATAAAACTTAGGCAAATTAAGAATCTAAGAAATCTACGTTTTGTCTCATTTCCTCGTTTTCACATGCTTGCATACACGTACAACAGATGATTAATAATTATGTAAACCATCTGATACATGCAAAAACATATAAAAGCAATGAAAACCGTATGAAACTAAAGCAAATAAAATATATTGGGAAAAAATAAACATAACATATGAAATATATAATAATTTGCAATATTTATAAGTCATTAATATAATTTGTTTCTCACATGTTGGATAAGAGACTTTGACTCATACATAGCTAAATTAATTATGAGAAATATTATACGAAGCATGAGAAAATTCGTTTATTTATGACTTTTAGAAAGTACTCCCTCCGGTTCTGTTTGTAAGTTTTAAATTTAAAAAAAAAGTGTAGTTCATTTTATAAGCCTTAATTTGTGTTTATCTTAACATTTAATGTAGTTTTTTCAATATTACTCTTAATTATTTCTCTCTTGTCATATCTTCCCACACATTCTCTTTCATTTTTTTTTCATTTATGATAATGGCATATTTGAAAACAAAAATATATTTCTAACCTATTTACTGTTTTTAATTAATTTTAGCTTGTTATTTGTTATTAGTGAATTAGTTATTTAAAACTTATAATAAAGGGCAGAAAAAAGTATGTATAACTTTATAAAGATTTCATATCTTATATCATACTAATCCTTATGAATTTGGCTGTGAATAATATGTTTTCATCAATCATATTCAATGTAGTTATATTAATATTACGTAATACTGCTTTCTTCCAGCAAACCATTGCCAGTTTTCATTAAAATATTAAGGTAAAAAATGCTAATGTGCACTTGTCAAAGTCGGTCCGCGCATTAATTATTGTCGGCATTTACTTGGTTTTTTCTATTCTTGATAGGCAACTCTCTTCTTTCTCTATCCAAAATCTGTCCCTTCCGTTTTCGTATCAGATCGGTTGCCTTGTTTTGACGTCCGTTTCTGCACTAAAGAAATGTAGAACTTGAAACCACAATTTTAAGGAGATAGAGATAAGAAATCTCAAGTTGTTTCATTATTTGCCACATGTTTGGACATTCTTATATGCATACACTTCTATATATACACTCGCACTCACACCAAAACGCAAATATATACTCACACATGTTGCTTGAATAATATGCGTGCGTCAGTTAGAAGGCAAACCCATATGGAATACCAGTTTTCTCCCTTGCTTGTTGTTTCCTTCATCATCTTGTTCTTGACGTTCCTTTGGTTTAGAAAACCAAGAAATAAAGCGACGATTAAAGTGCCAGGGCCATGGAAGCTTCCCCTGTTGGGAAACCTTCATCAGTTAGTAGCAGCAGAGTCACCACTTCCACACTATGCCCTTCGAGAGCTATCTCTCAAGTATGGGCCTCTCATGCACCTTCAACTTGGTGAGACTTCAACAGTGGTCGTGTCATCCCCAGATTTGGCTAAGCAGATTATGAAGACACATGATCTTTCCTTTGCGCAGAGGCCACAAACTTCTACTGCTAAGATTTTTACGTATGGAGGATCTGATATTGCTTTTGCTCCTTACGGTGATTACTGGAGACAGATGAGAAAAATATGTATTTTAGAGCTCTTGAGCGCCAAGAAGGTTCAATCATTCTCCTATGTACGACAAGATGAGGTACTCTATATATATATATATATATATATATTTGTATTTATGTATATATGCAATAAGATTACAATTTCTAATTAAATATTCTAGTATGACCAGATTCGTTTACCTCATTTCATCAGGTATCTAAGCTTATAGAGTCGGTTCAATCATCGGTAGGTTCACTTTTCGACCTCACGAGCAAGATTTACTCATTGACTAGTTCTGTAGTTATGAGGGTAGCATTTGGCGACAAGCATAAAGATCAAGAACAGCTATTGCAATGCCTCACTGCAGTAGTCAAACAAACGAGCGGGTTTAAACTTGTTGATTTGTTTCCTTCCTTGAAACTTTTTCATCTCCTAACTGGAGCGGAAGCAAAGCTGGTGAAGATCCGTGAGAATATAGGCAAAATTCTAGATGATATTATCAAGGAGAATCAACGGAAGCACATGAGAGCAGAAGGAGGCAAGAGTGCTTCGGAGGAAGAAAATTTGGTTCAGGTTCTTCTACGAATCCAGCGAAATGAAAACCTTGACGTCCCAATTACAGCGGACAACATCAAAGCTATTATTTGGGTTAGTACCACTTATTGCCTATATGTTGGTCTGTCATTACCTGTGTTGAAAGAAGACGTGTGTTTGATAATGCTAGAAGACGACAAAACAACCAATTTAACCATGATCCTGGGGTATCAATGGTTTGATGGTGCTAATTAATGATCACTTTGTGTCGAACATCATTGCAGGATATGTTTGCTGGTGGAACCGACACTTCGGCAACAGTACTAGAATGGGCCATGTCAGAAATGATGAAAAATCCTAGAGTGATGGAAAAGGCGCAAGCTGAGGTTAGAAACGTTTTCAAGGGGAAGAAAGTAATTCGTGATAGTGATATGATTCAACTCAGTTACTTAAAACTAGTAATCAAAGAAACTTTGAGGCTGTACCCGCCCGTTCCTTTGTTGGTTCCAAGAGAATGTAGAGAAACCTGCAAGATTAATGGTTATGAAATACCCATCAAAACTCAAATTATAATAAATGCATGGGCACTTGGAAGAGATCCAAATTACTGGTATGATGCAGAGAGATTCATACCAGAGAGGTTCCAAGGCAATAATTCTGATATTGATTTCAAAGGAACAAACTTTGAGTACATCCCTTTCGGAGCAGGACGAAGAATGTGTCCGGGCATTTCATTTGGCCTAGCAAGCGTTGAGCTTCCTCTTGCTAGCTTACTCTATCACTTCGATTGGAAACTCCCACATGGAATGGAACCTGAAGATTTAGATATGACTCCAGATTATGGTATCACAAATAGAAGGAAGGACAATTTGTGTTTGATTCCCACGCCATATAATATCGATTCTGTTGTTGGCAGTTCCTAGTGAAAGTACCCACCCACCCACATTGATGATGTAAATATTCGATATCCAGCAATAATACTGATGAGCACCAACCCACTTGACCAATGTGTATTATGATGAGCTTTGTTGTTTGACTATTGCATAGTTCAATGTGTGAGTAAATGACTGATCAACGTAGTATATAATTTATTTTGATTTCAGTTGTCAATACGTCAACAGTAAATAGCGTATTATTATTTTTCTCTGTTATATAAGTTGAGTGTTAAGTAGCTAGATGCATGCTCAAATTTAATAAGAATAATGAGAAGGTAAAAATTAATATAAATCAGAATTTAGAGTAATTAATAAAGATAATAATAAAAATTACTTAAATTGGACTGGATGACAAATTTAATATTTTTTTAACTATTTTTGTTGGTTGGTATGAATTAGTTAAAATTTATTTATATTTTAGACTAGTTCCTTATATTTAGAAAAAGAATACTCTATTATAATTATAAAAAAGACGAAAGGAGTAAGAAATGGGTATTTTTGTCTAGCTAACCTCTTCCCCTTCAATAAAGGACCCAGATCCTTTATACAATATTCTAACATTTGAGACATATTTTTCTGATTCTATTTATGAGACACTTTTAACATGTTTCATACAAACTAAAAAAAATCTTAAACTGTATTAATTTTTTATTAAAATATACAATAACTTTTTAACTTTATTCCTATTTAATATATACACCTTTAAAAAAATATAATTATCTATACTATAACAAATGAAAGATAATATAATACATTCGTAGTAAAAATTTAATAAAGTGACTTATAAATGAAATAAAAAAAAATTTCCCTACCTTATAAATAGAAATAAGAAAATCTCTCTAGGTACTACTGGAGTATTCTCAAGGCCCCTGTATGTCGTTTTCCCTTTCTTTCGCTCAAAATTGTCTTTTCCTGCACATGGGGTTTGTTTTGCTCTCTTGTCTTCTAACCAACCAGAATGCCGGCACCGGACCACAATTAAAAATTAACCTTAGATGGTTACCAACATACTTTTAAAAAAAATTTATGTCAAATTTTTTATATTCATAATATCAAATTTTTTATTGCATAGTTATGTGTTCTATTTTTTTTATATGAATTTAATATTTTGACTATCAAATATTATGCCATTAAAATTATCATGGAAATTAATTGTTCTTATCATGCCAAAATTTTTATATTTTTTATTATATAATGTGTCATTTAAAAATAATACTTAGCACTAACATGTAATTTGCAATATTTTTAAATAATTAAATACTTAAAAAATATTTAAAATATTTAGAATTATATGTCAAATGTAAAGTTTTTTTTCCCCCAAAATGATACATTGTATACCAATATGATTCGGGTATATATTTTTGTGTATTTTAGCTATATTCCGATATTTAAATCCCCCGTCGTATTCAAGTTGCTTCCACAGTCCCTATGTATCGTTTTCCATTTCTCTCCAAAAGTGCACATCTCCATATTTACAAGTCTTGAAGCTAATCCGCATGGAATCCCAGTTCTCTTGCTTGCTTCTTATTTCCTTCATCACCATCTTCTTCTTAACGTTCCTTTGGCTTGTAAAGCCAACAAACAAAACCAAGATTGAAATCCCAGGGCCATGGAAGCTCCCTGTTTTGGGAAACCTTCATCAGTTAGCAGCAGCAAAGTCACCACTTCCACATCATGCCCTTCGAGACCTGTCCCTCAAATATGGACCTCTCATGCGCTTTCAACTTGGTGAGATTTCAACAGTAATTATATCATCCCCAGATATGGCTAAGCAGATCATGAAGACTCATGATCTTGCCTTTGTTCAGAGGCCAAATGCTTCTAGTGTCCAAATTTTTGCGTACGGAGGAACTGATGTTGCTTTTGCTCCTTACGGTGATTACTGGAGACAGATGAGAAAAGTTTGTGTTTTAGAGCTTTTAAGTGCCAAGAAGGTTCAATCATTCTCCTACGTAAGACAAGATGAGGTACCCATATTTAATATCCAATTCCATATGTGATCGAATTGAACTACTTTGCGGTGTTCTTGGCTGCAAAGAGACCCTATGTTCGTCATTAACGTCATTAATTGCAGGCGTTGACTGAACCTTTTAGAAAGTAGTATCATTTTCTATATCAATGTTAGAAATTTTCAATATTTCTTCATCATTCTTTTTGTTTATTACCTCATTTCATCAGGTATCTAAGCTTATAGAGTCAGTTCAATCATCAGTAGGTTCGGTTTTGGATCTCTCGAGCGAGATTTACTCATTTACTAGTTCTATAGTTATGAGGGTAGCATTTGGCGACAGACATAAAAATAAGGATCAACGGCAGCCGCTGAAATTGCTCCGTGCAGCTTTAGAACAATTGAGCGGATTTCAATTTGCTGATTTGTTTCCTTCCATGAAACTTATCCATCTCATAACTGGAATGGAAGCAAAGTTGATGAAGGCTCATAAGAATATAGACAAATTTTTTGATGATATTATCAAGGAGAATCAACAGAAGATAATAATGAGATCAGCAGAAGGAGACAAGAGTAGTGATGATGATGCTTTGGAGGAAGAAAATCTTGTTCAGGTTCTTCTACGAATCCAGCAAAGTGAAAGCCTTGACGTTCCTATTACGACTGACAACATCAAAGCTGTTATTTGGGTTAGTACTCCTGACTTATACCTTGTGAGAGACCAAAATTAAAACGTGGTACCTAGTTTTAAGGTAATACATTAGATAATTCTGATTAATGATGACTTTGTAGGATATGTTCGGCGGTGGAACAGATACCTCAGCAACAGTACTAGAATGGGCCATGTCAGAAATGATGAAAAATCCTAAAGTGATGGAAAAGGCGCAAGTTGAGGTGAGAAACGTTTTCAATGGGAAGAAAGTAATTAATGAAAGTGATATGGTGCAACTTAGCTACTTAAAATCAGTAGTCAAAGAAACTATGAGGTTGCACCCACCAGTTCCTTTATTGATTCCAAGAGAATGCAGAGAAACTTGCAAGATTAATGAGTATGAAATACCCATCAAAACTCAAATTATAACAAATGCATGGGCAATCGGAAGAGATCCAAATTATTGGTACGATGCAGAGAGGTTCATACCGGAGAGGTTCCAAGGTAATTCTGATATTGATTTCAGAGGAACAAACTTCGAGTTCATTCCCTTTGGAGCAGGAAGAAGAATGTGTCCAGGGATTTCATTTGGTTTAGCAAGCATTGAGCTTCCTCTAGCTAGTTTACTCTATCACTTTGATTGGAAACTCCCACGTGGAGTGAAGCCTGAGGATTTAGATATGACTGAAGAACTTAGCGTTACAGATAGAAGGAAGAACCATCTGTGTTTGATTCCCACGCCATACAAATATTGATTCTCTTCTTGGAAGCTCCTAATAATTGTGATATTTGCGTGTTTGTTTTGAATTCAATAATGTTAATATTCCGTGCTTGTTTTGGATTGGTGGAACCAGAGACAGATCCGTGAGAAAAGATTATGACTCGTCGGTTTCGTTTGTCGTTACATCAGCTGCTGGCTCACATCTTATTGCAAAAGTAGTACCTCTACGCTATAGAAATATACGAGTTAAAATTAAAAAAACTTAGTTAAATTAATTTATCACACGGATGGTAACTCCATTTCATATGCAATTGATGACATTTACTCCCTCCAATTCATCACTAGTGATGCTATTTATATCGCACTTTAAGAAAAACATTAAACAGTATTAATTCTCCATTAAGATATAATAATTTTTTAACTTTTTCCTATTTAATATATATACCTTTCAAAACAATAACTACCTACTTATTCTGGTCCTTATTATAAACTTCAAATAACTAATTTACAGATAACAAATAATTAATTAAAATTAGTTAAAAGCAATAAATATGTTAGAAATATAGTTTTATTTCCAAATATGCTCTTATAATAAATGAGAAAAAGGATAAAAGAGAATGTATGAAAAAATATGATAAGAGAGTATGACAAATGAGAGAAAATAAATAACTAATGGCAAAATTAGAAGCTTATAAAATAAACCATACCTCTCTCCAAATTTGAAGCTTATAAATAGAACCAGAGGGAGTACACTATAATAAATAAAGGATAAAATAATATATTCACGTTAAAAATTTAATAAAATGCCTTACGAGTAGGACTATGAAAAACCTTGTCATTTTAATTTGCCTTCTAAATAGAACCAAAGGAGTATAATATAAGAAGTTAATTAAGTCCTTAAATTTGTTTCAAATTGATAAAAGTTACCTATTTTATCCTTATTAAAGAATGTAATTGGAAATTTTTTCTCTCATCTCTCCTGTATTTAATTAAAGCTCTCTCCCCTTCTTATAACAAGGGTTAAAAGTGAAAAAACTATTATTAATGACCCACTAACATATTTTGGTTCAAAATTTTTTCTAGCCATCTTCTTACCAAAACAAACACACCAATATTAGCTCCTATATTTAAGACATATGGAAATAATATATATTTCAATTTTCAATTACGCCTTAATTACTTGTCACAACTCACATGGTTTAACATTACATTTGACAACCGCTATGCATGCCTCCATGTAAACATGCTGACACGTCCTTGTGTACTCCTCCTTTGCAACGCCGTTCATAACAATTAGGACTTGGGAGCTTATATGAGCATATGAAATCAATTGATTAACTTATTTACTGATTTAATTAACGCTGACGTTATTATTCACGATGAAGCTGAATCAGATACCTGTAGAGAACTGAGTTTTCAGATTTTTTTTATTTACAAAAAAGAAAACATATCGAAACATTAGGAGAGAATCTTATGCGGGCTAGGCCTAGGTGGATGAGAATGCTGACAAAATCGTCGCCTCCAAATAATTTTTTTTTAAATCAGAAGAATAATTAATTAAAAAAATATTAAATGCTCCTCACCGCACTTTATAATTTGTCTTATAAATGGAAACAAATTACAGTATAAAATAAAAGGCGGGAGGAGTTTATTGTAGAATTGCGTATCAAAGGGGAAAAAAAGAATTGCGTCTCAATGTTTTTTTTAACTGCTCACAGCAATCTTTTTATTCGAGACTTTTCTATTCGAAACACAATTAGCTATTTAATGTGAACGCCATTTTTAATGAAAATTTGAATATTATATCATGTGCGGAACTAAGTCATTCCACAAGACCCAAGCCCTGCTTGATGAACTGGTGAGCTGTTTTTGGCCCCAAAAAAATTGGCGAGCTTTCTACGGTAGTATCATCCCCAGATATGGCCAAGCAGGTGATGAAGACCCTATGATCTTGTTATTTCTTCCCTTCATTGAAACGTATCCATCTTATGACATATTTATATTAAGTGGGTGTTTAGAGGTCCTAAAAGATACCTCAAAAAATATTTTTGTACAATACGAGACAAAATTTATTTTACATATTTGTCTCAAACTCCGTGAAATCACTTTTAAAAATATAATCAAAACACTCCCTCAATCTCAAAGACCATAACCTTTAAGCTACAACATCCTTTCCATTTATGGGATACATTTATGAGCCACCACATGTACAATCTTTTCTTTCTTCAAATTTGTTCATATTAAATCTGAAGCGTCCAATTTCAATATGAATTATCTAAATTTGATGCTCATCCCTTCGAACTAAATCCAATGTTTTTCATCACGCAACAATTGTCCACCAAGAACCCCTAAGCACTAGAACTCTCCTTCCATATGGGACATAGATAGGGATGGAGAACTTGGACACAAATTTTTCTTTTTCCTTCCTAATTTCACACACACACGGATAGGGATTTGGCCAACCCACATAAAATTGAGCTTATTTATTTGTTGAGAGAGACAGTATTTCAAATAGAATTGTCTATAATAAAAAAGAATACCTGTATATAGGGCCAAAAAAATATCACCCTCTCCACTGATGAGTCATGCGTCAATTGCTACTTCCTTATAGGTGAGGTGTTTCGGGTGGTCCATAACCCAGGAAAATTTCAACCTTTTGTGATATCTGCGTCGTGGCCGTAAGCTTTGGCCTGTTCTCATAAATTTATTGAAATAATCTATACATTTTTAATCTTATTTTACATTTTAATTTAAATCTACCAAAACCTCAAATGTATGTTCTTATCATTACCTTCATTTTTCTTTTCTATCATTAGCATAGTTATTGACTTTGATTTTGACATAATGCTCTGAAGACCCTCACCATTTTTTTGGGTAACCTTTTTATTGTCATAATTCCCAATTCTCACTCTATTTCTTCATGGCGATCTCATTCTGTCTAAATAAGAGGTGCATTCAGTATTCTAAACTATTTTGTAATTTATTCAATACTCTAAAGATTTGATCAGTGCTTTAAAATAGATTTCTAGATTCATTCCATGTTCCAAAATATTTTGTAGTAAATCCAAATAATAACTCTAGATCATATGAATTTAAATGGAATTTTAGACTTTAGGAAGAGGAGTAAGAATATCATTAATAATTCAATTTTAAGTGATGTCATGAAAAATATAAAATATTTTTATTTGAGTAATATTTTGCAAAAAAATAATTTTTATGAAAATATTAAAAAAAATGTGAGTGAAAAAAAAAAAAAACAACCCGCACCAATCACAGTGGGTCCTCGCATTAATCATGGTCGGCATTTGCTTGATTTTTTCTGTTATTGAACGACCAATGACAACGACTCTTTCTTTCCCTCTAAAATCTGTCCCTTCCTTTTTTGTATCACATCGATCGGTTGCTTCTTTTGACGTCTGTTTCTGCACTAAGGAATGTAGGCACACTCGAAACCACAATTTTAAGGAGATAAGAAATCTGAACTCGTTTCATTATTTGCCACATGTTTATTCGATATTATTCTTATATGTATTCACTCACTGTTACACACAAACACACAGAAATATATACTCACAAACGTTGCTTGAATATACGTGCGTCAGTTAGAAGGCAAACCCATATGGAATACCAGCTTTCTTCCTTGCTTCTTATTCCTTTCTTCTTGTTCTTGACGTTCCTTTGGCTCAGAAAGCCAAGAAATAAGGCGCAGACTAAAATCCCCGGGCCATGGAAGCTTCCTCTGCTGGGAAACCTTCATCAGCTGGCAGCAGCAGAGTCACCACTTCCACACTGTGCCCTTCGAGAGCTCTCTCTCAAGTATGGGCCTCTCATGCACCTTCAACTTGGTGAGATTTCAACAGTGGTTGTGTCATCCCCAGATCTGGCCAAGCAGATTATGAAGACACATGATCTTACCTTTGTTCAGAGGCCACAAGTTTCTACTGCCGGTAAGATTTTTTCGTATGGAGGAACTGATATTGCTTTTGCTCCTTACGGTGATTATTGGAGACAGATGAGGAAAATATGCATTTTGGAGCTCTTAAGCGCCAAAAGGGTTCAATCATTCTCCTATGTACGAGAAGATGAGGTACGCATATTATATAATAATATCTTCTGCTAACGTTCGATTATTTTATATTATTTTAGATATTTTGATACGGAGAACTCTGGATTCTTGGCATTACATGGGAAGACATTTACTAAGAAACCCCATGTTCATCATTGTAATTAAACACTGAGTGTAACTTACGGATATTATTAATTTTTGGGCGGCTACTTAGCATTTATTTTGGATTTTCAACATCACATTTTTAACACTTAAATGACAGTTTTTTCCCCTCGCAACAGCTTCTGATATGAATCCTTAATAAGATCACAATTTCCAGCGAAATATTCCAGTATGACTGGATTGAGATTTCTTCATTAACGTTTACCTCATTTCATCAGGTATCTAAGCTTATAGAGTCGGTTCAATCATCCGTAGGTTCGGTTTTCAGTCTCACGAGAGAGATTTACTCATTGACTAGTTCTGTAGTTATGAGGGTAGCATTTGGCGAGAAGCATAAAGATCAAGAACGGCTGCTTCAACTGCTCCCTACAGTATTAGAACAAATGAGCGGGTTTAAACTTGTTGATTTGTTTCCTTCCGTGAAACCTTTTCATCTCATAACTGGAACGGTAGCAAAGCTGGTGAAGATGCGTGACAATATAGGCAAAATTTTAGATGATATTATCAAGGAGAACCAGCGGAAGCAGATGAGAGCAGAAGGAGGCAAGAGTGCTTCGGAGGAAGAAATCTGGTTCAGGTTCTTCTGCGAATCCAGCGAAGTGAAAACCTTGACGTCCCAATCACAGCCGACAACATCAAAGCTGTTATTTGGGTTAGTACTCCTTACTTATATGTTGCTCTGCCATTACATATCCAGAATGAAATCAAATGCTTCTGTCTGCGCGAGACCGAAAGCGAGCCAATAATACCAAAGGCAGTTAGAGCTAGAACACGACAAAGTACCCAATTTAATTGTGAATCCAATGTACGTATCTTGGGGTTTGATAATGTTAATGATCACTTTGTGTCGTCATTGTAGGATATGTTCATTGGTGGAACCGA